TGCATCAGGTTTTGTGTGTGTGTGTCATAGGTCTTATCCCTATAGATTCCCAAAAGATGTGCACTGATCAGTGTGTGTGGCATTGGAAGACCGTTCACTAGTCTTGCCCGTTCCGATGAGATTATTGACCTTTTTATGGTGACATATATTGTAACAAGGCCTCTGGCGTTAATTTGTGAAAATTGTATAATATAGATATCATTTCTTTTAGAGCTTGGATTCCAAACTTGTGGCATTTATGTTTTGTTCTATTCTTATGAAGGGGTTTAAAAATTAAAGCGTCTGTCTTTCCACAAAGATGATTTTAAACCAATATGTGGCTCCTGGAGTGTTACTGGAAGATTGTCTATAGGGTAGATGTTTACTACTGCAGAGAGAGAAAATATTCAGCCATTAGTTTAGCTGAAGGTAGGATGAGAAAGTTTACTTTTAATTGGGCTGAAAAGCTTCTGTTCAGTTCCAAGTAGACCTGATTGGGTCCAGAAGCAAGTGTCTTCTGTCTAGAAAAGGGAAGTTATTCAGAGCAGTTTAGGAAATAAATTACTCAGTGAAAGGGTATAATTTGTGAAACTGCAGTCAGGAGTGTTTGTTTAGAACTGCAGATTATTTAAACGCTGAGAAAGTCTAAGGTGTCTGGGTATGTGGTCAAGGGAAAAGGCTTCACAAGTCATGTGACTGAAACTGAAAAGAAACAGTTAAATCATACCTCCAAATTCGAGAGATAAGGAAAATTTCTCTTGATCCTGATTAACTGTAAAGTGATGGTCAAGTGGAATGGGTGGGACTTTGTTTTGCTATTGTTTTTAAAATCTTTCAAACTGTGTTAAATGTGGTAGTTTGATTTATTTCATTTTATGTTTATTTTATGTAATAAACTTCTATTTTCATGTTCAAACCAAATTTGGAACTGTGTGTGTGTATGAATGTTTCGGTGAAATTCTGTCACTTTAAATTAAAGAAAAAAAACAAGGTATGATCTATAAGGCCAGATTTCATTCTTCGATCTGATTTGCCCATTAGTAACATCAGCTGAGGTCATAACAAATCTCTTTGGGCTACCTGTTTCTACTGTCTCTGAAGTATATGTTTGGGGGGTTTCCTGTACCGATGTAGAATGATGATCTCTATTTCTCTCTCCTTTTTATACCTCCAGTACTGAGGCTTCCAGCTCTCCACCTTAAAACCTAGGAGCCCTCGCTTAAAACCTAGGAGACTCTACTATTCCATTGCTATAGTATCTTACCTCTCAAAAATTCCTTTACAATCACTTGCTTTAGCTAAAATGCATCTCCCTTTTAAGAGTTACAGACTAACTTAGAGAATGTTGGCACTCTAGAACATTTGAGATGCGTGACAATCATGAAATTTGAGCAAGCAGTATGAACTTTACACAATGCCTGCAGCACTTCCACCAGAAGTGGGCTAATCTTGCACCCACTAATGGACCTTATCAAGGTTTTCCTACATGATGATTTGTGACAATGTATATCTTGGCCCATGCTAGTAAGATTTTGGTCTGTGTCATAACCTTTTGATAAAAGTGTAAGTGAGTCAAGTTGTAGCGTTTCACTCTAGAGTGACCCTTTAGGAAATGAAAATGCAAATGAGCCAAGTACCTAGATAGTGTCACGTGATCACAGGCTTTCTGCACTGCAGCACTGCAGCACTGAAGGGACACTCTGTGTCTAGGGATTATTCCGCACTGTATATGTTGTTTTAAGTTACTTAAACACCCCAGAGATTTTCTAGTAAATGGAATCTATACACCTCATTTGTGTTCGGTTTAGATAACACAAGAAAAATATTACTACATAATGCATACTGGTATTTCTTTAAAATACATAACGAAGAAGAATCAGGCTTAAAAGCATGCAAGTCAAGGGGAACAGCAGTAAACAAAATATAACAATGATCTACAAGAGATAGCAAGAACTGCAGATGCTGGAGTCAGAAATACCACAGTGTGGAGCTGGAGGAACACAGCAGGCCAAGGAAGGGACCCAAGATGTCAACTTTCCTGTTCCTCTGATGCTGCCTGGCCAGCTGTGTTCTTCCAGTTCCCCACTGTGTTATCTATAACAATGATCTAGATGTTTCCACAGTACAGAGCACTGAATAAAATAAGATTTCTTTGCCAGTTTTGTGTGATAACAGTTGGTAATGAGGGTTTCCACAGATTCAACACTTTGGGTTTATCTGAAGAGGACCAGAAGGATTCCACAAAGATATGGAAAGTCCTAATAGACCAGCTAGATGTAAGAGTGAACTTTAGAATTCATTGCTTAGAATTGATGCCCTATAGGCAAAAGTTGCCACAAAAATCAATAGACCAATTTGTCATAAAGGGCAATGAATGGAAGTTTCCAGAGGTTGAATTGTTGGAGCTGATAATGGAGTTGGTGATTGCCTTGACACTATCAAAGTATTCATAAAGGGGTCCTTAGATAAAAGAATAGTTGATAGCATTGATTTTCTGCTAGTGGATGGCACAGAATGAAAAACCATCGTAGCTAGACAACTGTAGCTATAAACACTAGGTCAGAATTCACATGACACCAGGTTATAGTCCAACAGCTTTATTTGAAATCACAAGCTTTTGGAGTGCAGCCCCTTTATCAAGTGAAGTGCAGGAAGGTAGATAGGCGCAGAATCTTTATCAAAAGATCATACAAACAGTGTGAGTGGAGTGTCAACAGGTTGAATAATAAATCTCTGTGGGTGATCAAAGTGTCAGACAGTGTGAGTAAAGTGTCAACAGCTGAATAGCAAGTGAAAGGGATGACCTATAATTAACTAATCGAGGCAAAGAGATAATTAAAAATAAGATGGTGCTGGAGGCAAACCAGATGGCTGGAATAACGTGATAGGTACAAGAGCCACATACCAAGGGTCTCATATAAACATTGGGTACAACAAGCAGCATTTACAATGTAGTTTATAAATAAAGCTCTGTGTCCTGTATGATCTATTGCAATCACCACAAAGCGGTCTGACAAAGATCTGTGCAGAAGTGCAGTACAAAAGAATACTTGGCCTGCCCATAGAAGAAATCTGGCCCCAAAGGTGTAGCCGGAAGCAATAGCAAGGCATAATGGAACAGAAGACAAATGCAGTGGTATGGCATCAGTAGCAAGGAATGCATCAGAGACCTGGGTGAACATAAGCTGATAGATGAATTTCACAGGAAGAGAGACCTAAATCAAGACGCAGGGAAGAATAGCTTCCAGCCAGAGGACAAATAAGCTTTGCACACTCTGAAAGTAATACATTATGTGGACAAAGTCAGGCAAACAGAAGCTTCTGCCACAAGCAACATCATTTGCCCAATGAAAACTGGCAAACACAGACTCAAAATTAAGACTGACACAGAACTACTGCAAATATCCAACAGTCCGAATTTGAGAGGGCATGAACTGGGATCACTGAACTCAATAGTACAACTAACTACCTCTAAACTAACTGCAGAAAATGGGCTGCCAATCCTTTCTATTGGTACATTAGCAACGCAATGCCGCTATGGCAATTGACACAGAAACAATGGACATTTCACCTGATAGGCATAAGCGGATCAACAGTGACAGGACTATCAGTGTGTGTGGCTCCTAACATTGTGACTCCTTGAGATCAACAAAGTAGACATGGTGGCAGAAGAATCCAAGAATATTCTCACTGAGTCTGTCTGGGATAGATAGCAATTGTACTAATCACAAACTCTTAGAAAATGATTTGCCGCAAAACACTGATAAGTGTACCTCCTGGACTAAGGACTTATGGTAAAATGAGAATGATATTGCCAAGCCTCCACCAATATTAAATTCTCTGAGTTACAGGATGCACTTCTTGGCAAACAAGGGAGGATAAAACTGATGCATAGCCATCACAAGAACTGTAATATCTCAAGTACATTTCGGACAGAAGGTTTGAGTAACACTGACACAATGGGAACGCGGTTAAATGCAGAGGTTTCCAAAGTGCACAAAGAGCTCAGGTCTTATAAATTTGTGGCACATAACAGAGCAATGATGAGGAGGAACAGAAGGAACAGCTGAGGAAAGTGTACAGTGAACATGATGGAACACCCCCAGACTTCAGAAATGTGATGGAAGATCAGGGCAACAACAACACACAGACAATGTATCGGCAAACCAAGAACATTCGAGCGAAATCCATACATGCAGGAGGTTATGCCATGACAAGAAAGAGAAGAGTAGTCAAAATACCAAAATGATGTATGGTCTCTTTGACTTCTCTACTTCTAAATTTCATAATCTTTATCTCTGCATTACTAATGTTGCTATTACCCAAAGTGTTTGTTTTTTTTACTTGTGACACATAAGAGTTATCTTTGGAAATAAAAGTAGATGTAGTGTTATCACCCTTGGAGTGATACCAATTAGGAGATGAACATGCAAATGAACCAAATACTTGGATGTTGTCATGTGAGCACAGGTCTCAGGCAGTCTACAGCACAGCACTTCCAACACAGGTTGTGTCTATACATTATACTGCGTTGAGTTGTTTGCTTGCAAATAAACCAGCCAGAGATTTTCATCTAAACAGAATTCATGTACATCATTTATGTTACATTTAGAGAACACAAGAAACATATCACATAAACACTAATCATTAAGTAACTCAACAGAAAATTCCCCAGTTGATACAAATGTGCAGAAAAGATGAGAATTGAGATTTTGCAACTATATGGTGCGTATTATTGGATACTGGGCTAGTGACACCCACCTTACAGCTACTGGCATGAAGAAGTCAGTTAACTCAGCAGAAACCAGAAATTAAACATGAAATGTTCTTGATCCAAAAGCCATCATATAATATATGAAGCAAATTTATTCATGAATGGATCAACATTCTATGTAATTATGTTTACAGAGTTTTGATCTGTCGGTATTTGGGAGCTCACAGAGTCTGCTTTGGAAAATGGTTGTTAACAGCAAAGCTCTGGTGAATTGAGGCAATATGTTTTTTCTACCCTTGCCTTTTTGTAGTCAACATACTTTAAAACAGGTTAAGATAAGAGATAGTCTTTGATAAGACCTACCCATACAAGCAGTCTGTTGTTTATGCAAATGGAGGCAGTTCATAAAAGACTCCAGAGTTTTGTTTTGTATACAGTCAATTCCTGTGAACATTAGAGACTCATCAGTCAAGAAGCAGAAGTGAGTGAGTTCCTAATTGACAGCTCTTCAGGAAATCTACACAATAGTTTCTATTTCATGTTCCTGCTGTTAAGCACAGAAGTTGACAGCACCAAAGCTGAGAGCTGCGACAAAGGATTACATCTAAGGATTCTCTCGTACAGTAAAGATGGTGAGTAAAATTGACTTACTCTTCTTGTACAAATGAAAACTCTGGCAACAACTATGTAAAGCAGTATTGGCATTGCACAGTTCTGTTAGATTTAAGAAAAAAAACTGAAGTGAGGAGAACAGTAAAACACTGGTAACTCCTGAATTTGTTGAAGGAAATTAACTGTGACTGTTTACACATTGACAAAGCAAAAAAGGTCCACAGCCAAAAACACTTTCATTGGATATTCTCTATGCAAACTAATGTACATATGTTACTAGCTTTTTGTAAAATCGTACAAAATTTGTAAAATTTTCATAAAATTTGATAATGTAGCTGCATTAATTTGTCAATTGCAAAGGTATTTACTTATCAGTACAACTAATGGAAGTATTTACCTTGTATCTGGGTAATTGTTTTAGTGCAATCTGAGTTCTATAAGTTAAGATCAATAAATAATCTTTTCTTAAAAGACATCAAGTCAGTATTTTTGGTGCTGTTTATAGAGTACTGACCAGGTAGGATAACAGTGAAACATGTGGCGTCGAGAATAATTTGAGTTAGATCATCATATTTACATAAGGACAAATTGGGAATTCAAAACTGAAATTTCCAGATGACAAGGATATTAAAACAAAGTAGGCAAGTAAGATTTCTGATGAATTTCAGGTACAGAATACAGTAGTAGAGCAGACAGAATACAGAGGGTGCCGAGGTGCAATTTGCGAGCAGAACTGAAAGAGTTTCTAAGAAGGCTGCAAAGGGAATGAAGAAAACAAAGTAACAAAAATAACCCCAAAATCTTTTATAATTACATAGAAAGTAAAAGAATTGTTAAAGTAATGGTGAATTTAATTTGGGGCAAGGAACGAAAGTGCATAATTATTTCACAAAAGAAAAGAATAAAATTAATGTTGCCATCAAGGAGGGTGAGTGGAGACATTGTATAGGATAAAAATAGAAAGTAGATGCTAATTAGATTGGCCACTCAAAGTTAGCAAGTCAGCTGGTCCAGATGAGCTGCATTCTAGGTTGGTGAAGGGAGGTAGAAGAAGCTCTGACTACAGTCTTTCAGTTCTCTTTGGATATAGTGCCAGGGGACTGGAGAAATGCAAATGTTACAGCCTTGTAAATATAAAAATGGAAAAGGGTTAAACTAGTCTAATACCTGCCATGGAAAACTACTAGACCTGTGACCAAGTTAACTCTCACTTTACAAAGAATTGGTCAACGGGACAGTGAGTGGATTTCTGAAAGAGAAATCATGTCGCTCTAACCTGAGTGAGCTTTTTGGTGATGTAACAGAGAGGTTTAGTAAAGCTAATGCAATATATGTTGCAAAGTGAACTTTCAAAAGGCATTGGTTAAAGTACCGGTACCTCATACCAGACATAATTTCAAAGTGGAAGCACTTAGTATTAAAGAGACAATAGTGATATGATGAAAAGTAATTGTCATGGTCTGGATGTAGAGAAGTGTACAGTGCAGTCCCAGGGTTTTTTTTTAATTCTTTCGTAGGAACTGGGAGCTGGTAGTAGGCTAGCATTTGTTACCCACCCCTCAGTGCACTTAAATTGTGAGGTTTGCTCAGCTATTTCAGTGAGTAGTTAAGAATTGAGTGTGATTTTGACAAGTCAAGTGGTCAAATGCATGGCAGGTGAAGTATAATGTGAATAAATGTGAGGTTAATCATCTTGGTAGCAAAAGCAGAAAGCCAAATTATTATCTGAATGGTAACAGGTTGGGGAAGTGGGGAGGCACCTTGAGACCTGGTTGTCCTTATACACCAGTAGCTGAAAGTAAGCATGCAGATGTAGCAAGTGGTGAAGAAGGCAAAGGGTATGTTAGCCTTCATAGCAAGGGAATTTGAGTACTGGGCCTTGGTGATTCCACAGCTGCTGTATTATATACAGTTTTGATCTCCTTATCAGAGAAAGGATGCTCTGGCTATGGTGGGAGTGAAATGGAGGGTTACCAGATTGATTCCTGGAATGGCAGGACTGACATATAAGGAGAGACTAGATTGGTTAGGATTATATTCACTGGAGTTTAGAAGACTGACGGTGGAAGGGGGATGCTCGTAGAAACCTATAAAATTCTACCAGGACTAGATAGAGTTAATGCAGGAAAGATGACTGGGGAGTCCAGAACCAGGGGTCACTGACTCAGGATACAGAGTAAACCATTTAGGCATGAGATGAGAAAAACATTTCTTCACCGAGAGTTGTGAGCCTGTGGAATTCTCTGTCACAGAAACAGGGTGAGAGCGAAATATTTAATGTTTTCGAGAATGACTTAGATGTAGTTCTTAAGGCTTAAAGGATCAAAGGATACAGGGAGAAAGTGGGATGAGGATATTGAGTAGAATGATCAGCCATGATCATGTTGAATGGCAGAGGAAGTTCAAAGCCTACTTTGGTCAACAGGCCTACTCCTGTTGCTCTTTTCTATATTGCTATGTTTCAACCACATTGCTTGGGATTGAAGTAATTTATAGCCCATACCAGGGGATGGCAACAGATTTCCTTCCTTAAAGGGCATTAATGAACAAGATGGGTTTTGAGAACAATCAATGATAGTTATTATGGTCACCATTCCTGAGCCTGGCTTTCATGTTTCAAAATATTCATTCTATTTAAATTTATCAACTACGGTGGCCTCTAGATTACTAATCAGTTACAGCCCTACTCTACCACCATATCTTTTTAGGGCCATTTCTTTTCTTATTTTCTATAAATAACCTGGACTTTAATATATGTAGTACAGTTTTAAAGTTTATTGATAACACAAAACTTGACAAGATAGTATTGATGAGCCTGATCATCATAGATTTCAGGAGAACACAGGTTGGTGCATATAACAAACGCAGCATAATATGGAAAAGTATGAAGTAATAAACTTTGGAAGAGACAACATAATGCAATAGATCCAATAATCCAATAGATACTACTTTTTGTGGCTACTCGAGCAGAGAGGATGCATATTCATATCTCCTTGAAGGTGCCAAGGCGAGCTGATAAGATGGTTTACACTTGAATTTGCAACTGGGGAGATTGAAAACAAAAATAAGGGAGCCATGTTAAATCTTTACAAAATAGGTCCAGCTAGAGTATTGTTTACAATTTTGGGCACCACATTCTGGGTGAATATGAAAGGTACAGAAAGGATTGCCAGGATGATACCAGGCATAGCGAACTTCAACTGAATGAAGAGATTAAACAAGCTGGCCACAACACAGGAGATTAAGGGAAAACCAAATAGTGATAATCAAAAAATTGTTTTGGTAGAGAAATAGGGAGAACTGTTTCCTCTGGCAAGTGAGTTAGCAACTCTTAATTGACTAAAATAGATCAGAAGTTTAAAAATAATTGGCAAACATAGTGGAGGGGAAATGAGGGGGAATGATTTCGCAACTAGAGTTGTTGAGATGGGAAATGTACTAACTGAGCAAATGGTGAAAGCAGATTTCATAAGAAGTGTCAAAAAGGAAATTAATTTGTATTTATAGGGAAGACTTTTCTGGATTTCTGGAGAAAAAGATGGATAAATTTGATAGTTCTTTCAAAGAGGCATAACAGGCCTAATGCTTTACTTTTGTGCTGCATTCTAGGATTGAAGAATGCCTCCTTATAACAGGTAGAGATGGGTAACTTTGTATTACCAGAAAACTTGGATCTATTACATGCAGTCACCTCACCGACAAGGCCCTGCACAGGAGGCTGCTAAATAAGTTAAGAATCCATAGTGTTAGGAGCAAGGTAGTGGCAGTGATAGAGGATTCACTATTCGGAAGAAGACAGAAAGTGGGGATAAAGGGCTCTTTTTCAGGATGGCAGCCAGTGACTAGTGGAGTTCTGCAGGGGTCAGTTTTGGGACCACAACTATTCACACTAGACATTAACAACCTGGAGGAACTGAGGGCATTGTTGCTAAGTTTGCAGATGACTCAAAGATAGGTGGAGGGGCAGATAGTGTTAATGCAGCGGGGAGGCAATTTTCCCTGGAGTGACGGAGGCTGAGGGGTGACTATATAGAGGTTTATAAAATCATGAGGGGCATGCATAGGGTGAGTAGCCAAGGTCTTTTCCCCGGGGGGGACGTCCAACACTAGAGAACATATGTTTAAGCTGAGAGGAGAAAGATTTTAAAAGGACCTAAGGGGCAGCATTTTCACATAGAGGGTGATATATGTATGGAATCAGCTTCCAGAGCAAGTAATGGAGGCTAGTACAATAACACTTTTAAAATGCATCTGGATGGGTTCATGAATAGGAACGGTTTAGAGGGATATGGGCCAAATGCTGGCAAATGGGACTAGATTTATTTAGGATATTTGGTCGGCATGGACGAGTTGGACCGAAGTGTCTGTTTCTGTGCTGTAATCTCTACGACTTGGACATGCAGAAGTGTTAAATAAAATACAATGTGAGAATGTGTGAGGTTATGCACTTTGGTAGGAAGAATAGAGGCATAAATAATTTCCTAAACAGGGAAAAGCTTCAGAAATTTGAAGCAGAGAGGGACTTGGAGGTCCTAGTTCAGGATTTTCTGAAGGTTAATATGCAGGTTCAATTGGCAGTTAGGAAGGCAAATGCAATGTCAGCATTCATTTCAAGAGCAGAAATATACTGCTGAGGCTGTACAAGGTTCTGGTCGGACAGCATTTGGAATATTGTGAGCAATTTTCTGTATCTAAAGAAGGATGTGCTGGTACTATGGGGGTCCAGAGGAGGTTTACAAGGACAATCCTGGAGATGAAGGGGTTGTCTTATGAGAAGCAGTTGAAGACCCTAGGTCTGAACTTGATGGAGCTTAGAAGGATAAACGGGGATCTCATTGAAACTTACAGAATACTGACAGGCTTGGATAAGTTGACGTAGAGAAGATGTTTCTACTACTAGGAGAGATGAGGACCCAAGGACACAGCCTCAAAGTGAAGGGACAGCCCTTTAGAACTGAGATGAGGAGGAATTTCTTCAGCCAGAAGGTGATGAATCTCTGGAACTCATTGCTACAGAGGACTGTAAAGGCCAAATCATTGAGTGGATTTAAGACAAAGATAGATAGGTGCTTGATTGGTAAGGGGATCAAGGGTTATGGGCAGAGGCAAGAGAATAGGGGTTAAGAAACATATCAGCCATGATCAAATGGCAGAACAGACTCGATCAGCTGAATGGCCTAATTCTGCTCTTATGTCTTATGATCTTATGGAAGCCAGGAATATTCTTTATAAAGCTGAGCCTCAAGCACTGATACTTGCCATTAACTGCATTCTTACTTTGTTTTCTATCTGTTGATTAATCCACAATCCATGTTCATATATTATCCCCAATCGCTTGGCAACTAACCTTGTGCAACAACCTCACTTGCAGCCTTTTATCAAATGTCTTTCAAAAATCCAAATATACTTCATCTCCTGATTACCCTTTATTTGCTGGTGAAATGAGTGTTGTGTTATTTGTAATGGGGAGGGCCCTCTTACCACATGATGCAATGATCATTGAGACAGCAGCAGGAGAGAACCAGGCAGCAAACCAGTTTTGTCTCTGATTTCTTGAGAAGCTCTTGTAAGAGCTTTGTGTTCTGCCAGATGCTGTTTTCTTCCCATTGGCAAATAATGAATGCATTTTCCTTTGCAAATAGGAGCTGTTATTTGATGCATATGTGAGCAGCTGACTAATACATTTAGCACATGCCATATTTGGTGGTTTGGAAGGATCTGGATACAAATAATATTCATAGAACATAGCACAAGGAGTGTGGCTGAAATGCTTACTCTCTTTCTCAGGTTGAAGATTAACACCCTATTGCACTTGTTTAAAATTTAAAGTATAGGGTTATTCTTATTATCCAGAATTTGGAAAAGCAACAAAGTTCACACATATGGGTCCACACAATATTAATAATGGGTGGCAAACTATAAGATGACTATCTGTGATTTCCTGGGATTAACTATTTGTGAAGGGCCTCATTAGGATTATTGGATGACAGAATTGCTCCTTAATACAATGTGACAGCTTCTCTGATTAAGAATGCAAAAAGAAACAGATTAGGTGCATAACAAATTGAAGATTCCTTATTTGCTATTTGTGGTTGCAGAAACTATATCAATGATTAAATTAGTTAGAGCCAGGTAAGAAATAACAGAGAAGTGCAATTATTAGACAATTTGATTATTTGAATGAAATGGCATTACTGACTTTCACATTTGCCAATTGATTATGAATGAGGTCAAGGTCAAGTTATAGATCATCGAATCCCTACAAGTGGGAAACAGGCCATTTGGCCCAACAACTCCACACCGCCCCTCCGAACAGCATCCCATCCAGACCCATTCCCTTACCCTTTCCCTGTAACCCGGCTTTTCCCCTGTCTAATCCACCTAATTTAAACACCCCTGGAGACTATGGGTAATTTAGCATGGCCAATCCACATAACCTGCACATCTTTGGACTGTGGGAGGAAACCTGGAGGAAACCCATGCAGACACAGGGAGAATGCGCAAACTCCACACAGACAGTCGCCCAAGGGTGGAATCGAACCCAGGTCCCTGGTGCTGTGAGGCATCAATGCTAACCACTGAACCTCAATGCTGCTGTGCTTTGAGAGCCTTTATTCACTTTCTATCCTCCTCAGACAGTTCACTAAAACTCATTTAAGAAGAATTATATTTTGGGAACAGTAATCCTGGGCTGCTGACACATTTGCACCATGTTTTGGTAGGTTGTAGGAAGAAGAATCTAAGTGAGAAATGGAAGCTGTGACAGAACATTAAAAGGTTGTGATAAAACATTAATAGGCTGTAAGAGAACATTAAATCATCAGTTTGGGAGTATCATACACAGCATAACTAAATATTTGTAAAGTTGACTACTGTCTGTTTTGCTTTAATAATTTTAGTTAGCAACTAAGATGTGGCTATTATTCAAAGTTTTGCAATAAGACGTCTTTTTTAATTGGTGCTCTTTATTCTTTTCTGTCACATACAGGTATCTCATGATGGCATGATCTGTACATCCACGCGATGGTCACAATTAAAAGGCAATATATTCAGATTGTTAGCACTAGTTCTAGTGATCTATGGTAAGACTGCAATATTTCAGCCTTTATTTGTCTATTCTTGATTATGCTGTGATGTTGTGAAGGCTATTTTCTGTTCTAACAACATGGTTTGAAGAGTAAACAGCTCATTTTGGTACAGAGGCTTTTGTTCGTAAAGTTTTCAATTGATGCACAATGTTTTCTATCTGTAATTTTCTTCATCCCAGCATCATCCCTCAATTTGCCAACACCATTAACAGGGCATCTCTCGCGTCTTTAAGTTATTCTCTTTCTTAGTCCACACATTGACAAGATCTCAGCCTTCCCATCACTGAATAGATCACCTTCTCTTTCCCAAATAGTGTGGCTTTCTCTTTCTCTCTCCAAACTAAATGTGTTTTATGTGCTGTGAATGTAAATTTATAAAATTTATCATTGAATTCTGAATTTAAAGGTGAAAGTTGTGAATGGATCTATCCAGGCTTCCTGGTTCAGAGAAAATGGCACTATCCACTGAGCCACAAGAGCTCACAGTATATTTTATAAGGAAGCAAATTGTATGATATAATTAGACCTATGTAGACAGAACTCTCTCTGAATCTATTTATATGTACCTTTTTGGCTGCTGCTCTGGCTCAAATCCTCAGAGCCAATTTTCACTTTTGTACTTCCTTGTTAATTTCTTTTCTCTTTACACCTCCTAAACTCTCTTCTACACTACCTCTCTGGCTAAAAATTGTCATTGGATCGAATATCTCCTTGCGCAGTTGGTGTAATATATTTCATAATGCTCTCGTGAAGTGCCTTAGGATATTAAGAGTTATATTTTAAATACATGTTGTTGTTTAATATGATCCTGCAACTCAGAATACAATGCAAAAGAAAATACTGTCTTCTTTTAGCCATTTCTTGGCCTATTTGTTTTTCTCAGAATCTGACATCAGAATAAGTCATTGCCACCAATTCAGGATATTTTAAGTCTAGTATTGTTAGGTTACTTAGTAATCTCACAGTAAAGGATATGCTGAAAAAATAGTAAAATTCCATATGATATTTAACAGTGGCATATTTCAGTCCTGAACAGAGTTTTAAAGTTAAACAAAATCAATTACGTAAGTATGAACAGAGAGCTGGCTGAAGTTTATTGGATAAACAGATGAGAGTCATAGAGCATACAGCATGAAAACAGACCCTTCGGTCCAAGCAGTCCACATCGACCATGTTCTCAAACTAAACTATTCTTACCTGCCTGTGTTTGGCCCATATCCCTCCAAACCTTTCCTATTCATGTACTTATCCAAATGCCTTTTAAATGTTGTAACTGTATCTGCATCCACCACTTCCTCTGGCAGTTCATTTCACACATGAACTCTGCGTAAAACAGTTGCCTCCATGTCCTTTTTAAAATCTTTCTCCTCTCACTTTAAAAATATGACTCCTAGTTTTGAACTCTCCCACCTTAGGAAAAGACCCTTGTCATTCGCTTTATCTCTACCTCATATGATTTTCTAAACCTCTATTAGGTTGCCCTCAGTAAAAGGTATGGTAGTAAAGAAACAATGAGAAACATTAAAAAAAAGTTCAAAATGTTTGATAAAAATATACTCCTATAAAGAACAAAAGCCCATCAAGAGACTGCAGAGTTTGAGGATAGCATTAGATTACAGGAAGACCATTAGAATCTGACAAAGGAGAGTAATGAATCTGAGGATTGAGAATGTTTTAGAAACTAGTAAAGGGCTATGAAAAGTTGTAAAAAGGTGAAAGATAAAACATAAAAGTGATTTAAAAATCATATTGTAAAAACTGTTACATATCTGTAACTAGGAAGAGAGTAGCTCAATTAAAGTTAGTTTCTTTGAAACAGCAGCAGAATTTAACATGGTGAATGAGAAAATGGCAGAGACATTGAGCAAATCTTTTGTCCCTGGCATCGGGGTAGAATACACATCAATAAAGAATAAATTATGGTAAAGAAAGAGTGAAAAAACTAAGGTAATTAAACCCAGACTTCTGCACCCCTAAATAGAAATGTTTTGCTGCGGCAGTTTCTCTAAAGTTAGGTCGTATTATATTTATGTAATGTGAATAAAGACCATCAAAAGGAGTGCTGAGTTTCTGTAATCACAGAACAATAGTTACAATCCATGGCAGTCTTGTAGTTCCAGGTTTATAAAATTGTTTTCACCTAGTTTCAGACTTGTGCCTTAATATTAATGAACTAATGAGCTGATTATGTTACCCATTGGTTTTCCCCATGTGTTCCCACAGCTTGCCAAATATGAGGCCTTGAAAATGGGCCACAGTCAACTGAGTGTTTTCAACAAATTTATCTTTTTGATCCTAGTTTGTATAGGCTAACAGTGATTGGCATGTCAAACACCATATCCCTGTGGCAGTTTGCAACAAAGTAAGGTACTGACTGTACCTAAGCAGTCTATGTTTGCAAGATCTGCAACACAGTGTCCAACATTAGATGTGATTCTGCAAATGGACAGCATTTGCTGGATAACTGATGTGTGAAGAATTATGCTAAAAACGATTTTTGGTTTGTTAGTCAGGCTTGTTGGGCTTGCAGTGTGGGGTGCATTTCCATATACTGGAAATGATATTTATTAATGCAGAGGACCCTGTTCTTTACAGAAAGAATGAACATGTACACAGATTGCGCCTGTTTCAACTCAACAAAATAGATATCAGCCGTTTTCTGGTTCATAAGGTCTTACCCAATCAAAGTCAAACTGCCTGGATTAAAATTTAAACAAAGCCTGGCAGTTAACTACCAGTCATCATTAACAGGTGCATTTCCCATGGCAACACCTCTTCCAAGTACAGGCCACTTGCCAACCAATCAAAATGCTCCTCTAATACAGTGTAAATGTTGGTTTTCCTATTAATTTTCTGATGAGGAAAAGATGAAAATCTTCGATATAATAAATAGAATCTTCTCGGAGTTTGAGTAACATGGGTTATGGTGAGATTTGTGGCAAAATTGAACAAGAAATCTGGTGAGGCCCTTCTTAACGTTTGGAGCATTTTGTTCCATCTTTTGTGCTTTTGACAAGCAGCATGGCAATGTTCCTCAGAAGGCAGTGGGAGTTGCCAATTAAGGGCGATTATTGCTTGTTAAATGCCTTTTTACTGCACCAACTCTCCTCATTAATATTCACCTTTCTAGCTTATCAAACTCACCAAACAATCTGATGTCAAGGAAACTCAACATGGATATCAAAGTGGCTATCTGGTGAATTCAGCTTACCAATTGTTCTGAAGCCTGACTAACAAACTACATCTCTGGGCACAATCTATGGGAACCAGCTGCACATACTCCTTGCACAAAGATATTGGCATCTGGTACTTGCCAATCACTCATAACTATTATGTCATTTCTCCTGGAGCTCTGGAAGCAAGACCTGCATTGCAGGGCACCTCAGCAGCTATTACTGAAAGGCTGCAGCAGGGACACTTCGTGTACAGGGACAGGAACCCAGCTCAACCCACCCTGGACCAGACTGCATCTCTCTGAGTGCTCATTCACTTGGCTACCCTGTCCATTGCTTGTCATTGCTAAAATGCAGTGTGCTACATCGGTCTCACACCAGCACCATGTGGCAAACATACTGCATATGCAGCAAGCAAACAGTCATGTCTCAAAGTCTTGGGGGAGTTGTTGATGGATACATCTGTTTCAATCAGGGGGTGCCAGCACAATACATTGAGGGCAGCCTCCCGTACCAGACATGGGGATTGGCCATGGTCAGGTGTCACTCAGGGTGTCCTCAGTCAGAAGTCTATGCCCCTGCAGTCTAGGGAGTGGGTCATAGTTAGTCCAGTGGCTCCATAGTGGTCAGTCTGGGGTTAGGCCTAACATGATCAGGGAGATCAGGGCTGTCCGGTTTGATTGGCTAGGACACTCATGGGTGAACTATGGTCAGTCTGTAGGGCTCATCTGCAGAAATGAAGGGAAAAGGCAGTTGGGGGGGGGTCCGTTATTACAAGGGGGAAACACTGCTGCGGGAAGGAATTGCTGCAAGTTATTGTTTGGGACTTGGGCTGCAAGCTCAGGGAAAGGGTGTAAGAAATTGTGAAAGGGGTGGGCATGACAGTATCCACAAGGGGGAGATATGGATGGGAGAGGATTTATGAGTGGTCAGAACTCCTCTTATTTGCACCGTCTTTCCCTTTTCTGGCATGTTCAGATTCCCTACGTTACCAAACAGGACAGCTTTGGAATGCCATCCTTGTCCGGGTGTACAACAGCCTCTTAAATATGGCGTAGGTGCCAGTGATGCTGTTCTTTCAGCAGAAAGCCGCTGAGTGGCATTTGTTCTGGGAACAGTATGCGATAAGGTTGGGCTGGATTTGAGTGTGACAGACTCCACAGGAGTAGATAGTTGATCAGCTCAGTTTGGTAAGAAACAGTGAGGAAATAATGAGGCTGCTCGGCAGAAATCCCTCCAAAAAGCTTGATGTAGCTCACACTTAGCTAAAAAAAAATAGGATTTATCCCCATGTGTTCTTTTTCCAACAATACTCAAGTCTGTACTACTAAGCAACTAAATGAACAATAATTATTCAGAAAGACATTTAACACCTTGTCTTTAGATCAGGAACTTTTTTTTTTTACTGAGAAGTTCTGAAATATTGACACTGAGTGCCAATGCCAAGAGGGCAGTACAAGCTGAGAAGAAAGGAAAGCATTTGTCTGGGTAGTGGAACAAGGTACAAAGAGGTTGTGCCTTTAGATGATGTTGGATGACCAATCAGGGTGGGCTAGCACTCATACATTCTTTATTACAGTAACCTGAATGGCTGGCCAAATTTTGGTGATCCACTCAGTTTTAGCTTACCTTTGGTGTGAAATTCACAGCCATTTCCTTCACTCCAGACCACTTCATATAATAATTAAGGTTATAAATAGCCACAGATTTATGGATAATTGCTACTGGCCACTACAGGAGTGGTCAAGGACTGAGCTAGTCTGTGTTAAAGGCCCACGCCCTCAAAGTTTTTTTGGACTGTCCCAGTTTGTATTTTATATTTAGACCTTCTAGCTCTCATCCCTCACATCCTTTCAGGCCTCTCACCCACTCACCATCGCATTTCCAATTCATACGCATGCCCTCACCCAACACTGATGGTCTCTGATACCCTCCATGCCAATCCATCAAAGTTCCATGCCCATTCACTCAGGCAATACTCCGTGCAGGATATACTCCGTGCAGGATATACTCCGTGCAGGATGTACTCCGTGCAGAACCAACAAACCTAATAACAAAATGGCATCTGTGTGCTAAATAAAACATATTTATTTTTCTTTGAAAAACCTGCTGTTATTATAATCCTATAAAAATATCAATCAACAAAACTTTCAAAATGTAAATAACAGAAGGGCACCTCTTCATGCTTGTTGAAATAAACATTGATCTCTTTTGTCAATAGCTCACAAAAAAAGCTTATTATAACCACATGAATCTGTCAATCCTATCTGCGTGTGTCAATAAACCCACTCACATAACTCTTACATAGAAGTCTGGGATTTCAAACAATTAGGAGAGGAAATTAATTGGTATCAGTCGGCATAGAAAGGTATGTGAGACCATGGCGGGTGGATTCGTGAATATCTGAATGAGTAGTATTGAGTTGGCATGGGTAAGATCTTTTGAAGTTACCTTTCAAAAGTTTCCAAATCAAGACTCTGGTACTTCATGAGTCCTCTCAGATCCATGAACCATAAGTCATTGAGAAGTTAGCCTGACTCCAGTAAAATTGTGTTTGCTGATGGGTGCTCATCCGGGCAGTGCAGCCATCCAGGTTGGGCACACCTTTATTCTGCAGCACCAACAAAGATGCCTGGAATGGGACAGGAATCCTGTAATAGGTTTTGCCTGCCATTTTTAAATGGCTTCAGAGTCTTTAAAGTGCAACAAAAGTCTGTCCCATAAAATCACAGGCTTTCTTCCTTTGCAGAAATTCAGATGTTAGAAGGAGTACATGGCTGGGTATACCATTATTCCAATCAAACCATGAAATGGAATGCTGCGAGGAGGTATTGTAGAAATCTATACACTGATATGGTCGCGATACAGAATATGGAGGAAAACAAGTACCTGGCTGACTATTTGCCACAAGGAAAAGCACATGTCTGGATTGGTTTGAGGAAGATAAACAATGTCTGGACCTGGATTGGAACAAATCGGATTTTGGAAGATTTTGCTATGAACTGGGCTCCTAATGAACCTAACAATAAAAAGAATACAGAAGATTGTGTGGAAATGTATATAAACAGAGCTGACAATGCTGGACAATGGAATGATGAACCCTGCCTTCGAAAGAAAAGGCCACTCTGTTACCAAGGTAACTTTTTAAAAATTGTTAATATGTATTAAAAACTTATAGATTTACAGGTTCATCTATATCTCTTCCTTAGGTCATCCTAAAGGTATTTATAATCAATGGATTACATTTGAAATATAGATCATATGTACTGGACCCACTTAAATTATGTTCCTATAGAGTAAGAGGTTAGTTTAGTGACCTAGTGATCCAACGGCCTGACTAATGATGAGGAGTTCAAATCTCACTATGGCACCTGTGAAATTTAAATTCAGTAAGTTAAATGTATTTGGAATGAAAAGCTAGTATCAGTAACAGTGAACATGAAGCTACTGGATTATTGTAAAAACCTAAGTGCTTTCCCTGTACGCACGAGGGAAATCTGCTGTCATTCCCCAGCCTACGTATGACTCCAAACCAACAGCAATAATTTTTCTTTTCTGAAGAAGGGTCTAGGCCTGAAACGTCAGCTTTCCTGCTCCTCTGATGCTGCTTGGCCTGCTGTGTTCATCCAGCTTGTTATCTCAGATTCTCCAGCATCTGCAGTTCCTACTATCTTTGCAATAATTTTGCTCTTCATTTGTATCTTAAGGGCAATTAAGAATGGGTAATACAGGTTGACCTTGCTGGCAACACCCATATCCCACAATTGGATAAAATTAACCTGTTTTGCAAGATAACAAGTTGCACACAGTAGAATCATATTGCCACCAAATGAGTTAAGGTGCAATATTCCTCCTTGGATCAACTCTTCTATTTGAGGGGGATGTTGGTTGAGAGAAGACTGCTGCTCAGACCAGCCCTCCTGTCTGCTCTTCTTAAACAGTGCTGTGGGATTGCATGTACGTAAACAGGAAGACATGAGCTCTTTCTGAAAAGAAGCGACTCTGGCACCACAGCTGTCTTGCAGAAATGTTCAAATGATTTTGGCTTAGATTACAGATCAGGCCTGCAGTATATGTTTACACTGGAACTTCTGATGCAGATGTAACAGTGCTCCAAAGTGAGCCAAGCTAGGTGAATGGAAAATTGATGAGCTGAAAGTCTGAAATAAAAACAGAAGTGCTGCACAACAAATGAGTTCATTTCTGATATAAAAATAAAGGTTAAAATTTAGTAGACTGCTTCTTCAAAAATTATAAAATAATAATTTTCCATCCAGCAATTGGATGATGTCTTAATGCCTTCTGGAAGTTAAATCATGTGAAAACCTTGCAGACATTGTCAACTAGCAGAAACACTGGAATTCTAACATACGTGGGCCCATAAAACTGAACCCTACATCACTTTCATTTTATGAGCAGCCAGATCTGTCACAACCAAAACTTATACAGTTTGTTAAGTATCCCTTTCCGATTCTATTGAAATGGCCCCTCCAAAATGTTTCCTGTCTTTTGTTTTATATTTGTTGTTTATTTCCAAAATTTTTGCTTTCCCTGCACCATTTTCCTTTGTATTGATTTTGAATCAGTAACAATACTGGTCGGAGCAAAGGTTTTATTAACCATATAATGGAAGCAGAATGGAGAAATCTAGCACTTTCATTCTAGAAATGGGTAATCCTGTAGAAATATTAGTTAATACTTGGTATGGGTAAGGCAAATACAGAAAATACTTTAATTTGCAAGCAAGCACAAATAGTAAAAGTAATGGTAAAAGTAAAATAGTAGATCTAGGACTAAAGTTAGAATTTGTTCCTCATACTTTGAATGATTACTACATGGAAGGAAATTCCAGATAGAGCAATGTGGCATAAACCCTGCAACTTTAGTTAAAACCAATTTCATGTTATATTGAGAGTGATTTAGGGTCATCTAGATAGTAGATCCCATGTAGACAAATGAACTTTCTCACCTGTAGTTACCTTGTGATTTTGTGATAAACTGAGTACATATCTTGATTAGCATTTAATAATGTTTATCGCATAAATTAAGTATAAAAAAATGTGTCTGTGCAAACTTTTGACAGCTTCGTGCACTCCTAATGCTTGCAGTGGTCATGGAGAATGTGTGGAAACTATTGGTTATTTTAAGTGTAAGTGCAATGAAGGCTTCTATGGAGACAAGTGTGAAAAGGGTAAGCCTTTTGTACAACTCCAATGTTTGAAAGAAGACGTAAACAATGGTTAAATATCAACATAAAATATGTGAAATGAGGTTAAAACAGAATGTGCAAAACAAAACTTTAATAATCTGAGGGAACTGAATAACTGGTAGAAATTGCAAAATGAAACTGCTAAACACTAGTTGGATTTGTATGTGGGCACTAAGAAATGATCTGGATTTTTGCTGGAATTCCTCACCAGACTGTGGTCAGTTGCATAAATAAACACTCAATCATACAATAAACTATTCATAAATGTCAGCATTATTTCACCATTTGTTGTTTCTTTCTCACCCACTTAGAAACCGGGGAGTTTCGACTACCAGTTTTGAGCTTTATCATTTGAAGGAGACCATTAATAGGTTTCCTGCAATATATCTCATTGGCTGAAGCTTTTCATAGAATCACAGGAGAGTTATGGTGCAGATAGAGTCATATAGCACAGAAACAGACCCTTCAGTCCAACCAGTCAATGCCGACCATAATCCCCAACTAAACCAGTCCCACGTGCCTGTGGCTGGCCTATATCCCTCCAAACATTTCATATTAACATACGTATACAAATGACTTTTGCATGTTGTAGCTGTACCTGTATCCACCGTTTCCTATGGGATTTCATTCCACTCATGAACCATTGTCAGTGTAAAAAAAAATTGCTCCGATTTTGGATTACATGTAGGTATAAGCACAAATGTACTTCCTGCTTTTTTGCAACTCCACCTTTTCCTTCTCTTTAGAATCTTTTGAGGGTATCATTCCCATGAATTTCCTTTTTATTTTGAAAACTATTTCCTATACAAATAAAAATACTTTAAAAATAATTGTTGATGCTGGAAAACTAAAATAAAAGTGAAACATACTGGAACTTTACACAAGTTCAGCCAGTCTCTAGAAAGAGAAAAAGTGTTAACATTTTGTGTTTCAGACTGTTTCACATAGCTTAATATCTGGGATGTTTGGTTAACTGTTCTCTTCACAGATGTTCACCAATCTGTTTTGTAGTTCCAACATTTTCTATTTAAATTTGATACTAATTTTAAAAATGGCTGTATGCAAATATGAAGCTGAAAAGTCCATGAATAAACAAATATTTAATATATTTTTCAGAAGAGAAATGTATACTTAGTACATTTAATATTTCTGTAGCTCTCCATAAATTTTCTAATCCCTTCTTTTTCAAACAATATTGCTATTGTTATTTTAGTTAATAAGTGTATGGACCTGAAGGCACCAGATCAAAGCTCTATGAACTGTTCCCATCCTCATGGAGAATTCAGTTATGACTCAATATGCAACTTTACTTGTGTAGAAGGATATGAAATACGTGCAATACAGAGGCTTCAATGTACAGCTTTAGCAGTTTGGACTGCACCTGTTCCAGAGTGCAAAGGTAATGTACACATTGTGTTGCAAAAATGCTTTATTCTGAGACAGGCTTTACAATAATGTAACAACAATAGACCCGGCTGCATTGTGAATAGCAGATGGCACTGTAATTTGGCAATTGAATAGCCGTTTTTTTTCTCTGCTTAGTTCATCTTGGAATATTTTTTATTTATGAAGGTACACTATTGGGGCAAAACAGAGAGAACTTTAACTTACAAAGCAGCGGACAACAGAGCTGGACATTCTTAATGCTGATTTGAAAGCTTCAAAGTGTTCCCTTCCCCAGTCCTGTTATTCCTCACTAGAAACTCACAAGGATCTCTCAGTTGCTTCTTTAATAAGAACTCCTGGAATGATAACATCTGTTTACATTTAATTGTTGGAATTTACATACCAACACCATGATATTTGCATCTAACTTTCAGCTAAGCAATGCAGATGGTTGGAGGTTCCTCGTAAAGATGGTATAAACTGCTCCCATCCACTTGGATATTTCAGTTACAATTCAACCTGCACCTTTAGCTGTAGAGAAGGGTATGCACTGAATGGATTAGACAGACTCCAATGTCTAGCTTCTGGTCAATGGTCAGGGCGGACCCCCACCTGCAAAGGTATGCCTTTGTTTTATGATATAACCATTCTAGTATTTCTAAAATAGGAATAGATTGTTACTTTGCCACTTTTCAAGTAAAGAACTTCTTTCCTATCCGTAATTTTTTTTGCAGTCCAAGTATGTGAAATCTTAACAGCCCCTGACTATGGCAACATGAGTTGCATCCACCCCATTGCAAGCTTCCATTATAACTCAACATGCGACTTTATCTGTAACAAAGGATTTGCATTAAGTGGACGGAGCAGGATCCAGTGTAGAGTTTCTGGACAGTGGACAGCACAAAAGCCAACATGTGAAGGTACTGTGGCTGGAACAGTTTCATCAATGTTTTGCACAGGCATGGATACATACTTCTGGTTCCTAAACATAAATCTAATTGAAGGGCAATTAGAAACAATGTTGGTAATGGAAATCTGAAATAAAAAGAATCTAGAACAGATGGAAATATATAACATGGATATTGGCATCTGTCTAGACATCGGTTCTAGTCGTTATCTTTCCAACCAGCAACACTTGGGCATTTCATCCAAGTAATTGTTCTTAATATTTTAACTTGGATATTGAGTATTGGCAAGGCACTGACTCCATGAGATTTAAAGCCGATTTCTAATTTTAGTTTCTCTCCTATCTCCTTACGCCCTATCTAAACTCGCCTCGTCCATGAGATCTACTTCCTACTTCAATAACTCTGTACTCACTAAACTGCTGATTACCAACATTCTCCATTTCTTGGCACATTGGCAGTTCTGTCTCTTCAGATATTATTCTCTCTACTTCAAATCTGCTGTCCTCACCTCTCTTGTGTATAAACCAACCCTTGATCCCTCTGTCCTTTCAAATACCGCTCCATCTCCAAAAACTTTCCCACTCCAAACTCCTTGAACATAATGTCATTTGCCACATAGAGTCATAAAGCATGGAAACAGGCCCTTCGGCCCAAACTGGTCCACACTGACCATGGTGCCCACTCAGCTAGTTCCAGTTGTCCGTTTGATCCATATCCCTCTAAATCTTTTCCATCCATGTACCTATATAAATTTTTTTTAAATGTTGCTGTTGTACCTGTTTCAACCACTTGCTCTGGCAGCCCATTCCATATGTGCACCACTCTGCGTGAAGAAGTTACACCTCAGGTCCTTTTTAAGTCTTTCCCCCCCACCTTAAACCTATGCCCTCTAGTTTTCAATTCCTCATCCCCGGGAAAAAGACGATATGCATTCATCCTATCTATGCACCTCATGATTTTATACTCCTCAATAAGGTCACCCTTCATATTCTTATGTTCCAAGGAATAAAGTCCTATCCTGGCCAACCTCTCCCTATAACTCAGGCCTACTATTCCTGGCAACATCCTTTTAAATTTTCTTTACACACTTTCCAGTTTAACTACAGGTAATTCTGCTATAATGCGTGTTTCGTTAACCCAAATTGGCTGTAACGCGATTGATGAATAATGGACACTGTTTAGATAATGTGAACTTTCTGCTGTACAGGTATAGCAATTTTCTATAGCAATTTCCCCATAACACGATTTTCTATAGTGTCTCGAACAGCTTGGTGAGCTATACTCATTTAAAAAAAACATCATTCATAGGAACAAGCATAGGCTGTTAAATCCATCAAGCTTCTTCCACCATTCAATTAGATCATGGCTGATCATCCACCTCAAACTACTTTCCTAAAATATTTCCATATCTCTTGATGTTGCGAGTCTTCAGCAATCTAATGATTTCTGTCTTGAACCTGCTCAATGATTGAGGTGTGCCTGTCCCTGGGTGGAGAATTCCAACGATGCACCACCCTCTGATTGAAGAAATTTCTCTGCATCTCTGTTTTAAATGACCTGCCCCTTATCTTGAGATTATGTTCCCTGATTCTAGATTCACCCGCTGGGGAAACATGCTATCTGTATCCACTCTGTCATGCCCTGTAAGAACTTATGGCGTCAGTTTTCAAAACTGTAGAGAATACAGGATCAATGTCCTCAATATCTTCTTTTATCCTGCTAACTCAGGGATTAGTTGGGTGAACCTCTGTTATACCCCACTTTGGCAAGTATAACCTTCCTTAGATAAGGATACCAAAACTGTACGCAGTACTCCATTTAGGTCCCACCATGGCTCTATACAATTGCCATAATATGTCTTTGTTTCTGTGCTTAAAACCCCCTGCAATGGAGGCCAATATGCAATTGCTCTTTCTTAGTAATGGCTGCACCTACATGATAACCTTTAATAACTCATGAACAAGGACACACAGATCCCTTCCAACACTTCCCAACCTCTCTCCATTTAAGAAATGTTCGGTTTTTCCTTTTTTCCTACCAAAATGAACAACTTCCCACTAGTTCACATTGTATTCCACCTGCCATATTCTTGTGCATTCATTCAGCCTGTCCAACTCTGCTTGAAGCCACCATGCATCTTACTCAGAATATATAATTCCCATTTAGTTTTGTGTCATCAGCAAATTTGGAAATAAAGAAGAACAAAGAACAAAGAAAATTACAGCACAGGAACAGGCCCTTCGGCCCTCCAAGCCTGTGCCGATCCAGATCCTCTATCTAAACCTGTCGCCTATTTTCCAAGGATCTGTATCCCTCTGCTCCCTGCCCGTTCATGTATCTGTCTAGATACATCTTAAATTACGCTATTTACAATTATTACATTTTACAAATATTACAATTAGTCTCTGCATCTTGGTATTTTCTAACTAACCTGTTCAGAGATGTTATTATGCACCTGTGGAGCAGGTGAGACTTGAACTTGGGTCTCCTGTCCCTGAGTTAGGGACACTGCCACTGCACCACAAGAGCCCATTAGCCCCTACATGTAATAATTTATAAAGATTGTGAGTATCTGTGGCCTTGGTACTGATTCTTGCAATACCAGTCTTGCTATTTTGAGATTGGTCCGTTTATTCCTACTCTCTGCATTCTGTCTATTAATCAATTCTCAACCCACACTAGTATATCTTTGACTAAGTTCTTCAATGAGAAATGTTGGTCTTGCTTATGCAGTGTGTAATAATTCCTGTTAACTTCTCATTTCAGCTGTGAAATGCGGTGAACTGAAGACACCTCAGAACCTCCACATGAACTGTTCTGACCCCTTTGGACCTTTTAGTTACAGCTCAAGATGTGATTTTGACTGTGCGACTGGATTTATCTTACAGGGATCAGACATTCTGCAGTGTGAAGATTCTGGGCAATGGATAGCAGAGATGCCCACTTGCAAAGGTATAGTGCCTAGCTGAAGGTTATCTTTAATAGATTGTCTTAATATAAACTTGGCCTCCTCTGTCAATCTAGATGTGGTGTTGCCAGAAATTGGAGAAAAATTACCCAATATACCCCATTGAAAAATGAAAGGTTTTTTGACTGGTTTATTTTTCAATTACTGGTAATAAAATCTCTACATTTATTATTGGTGGCTATTTGTGAATCTGACAGAAGAATCATTTGATTATGGATTAGAATGGTTTGGCCCTTGTTTTTGCCTGGCACAGTTCTCGATGGGCCAAAGGGCCTTTTTCTGAGCTGTAGACCTCTATGTTTCTATGGCTCCAACATGATGTGGTAATAAGACTTGATTGGTGCTGATCTTCAACTATCATGATGCGATATTAGGTTAGCTCCTGAATAAGAATGATTCGCAAAATACCGAGGAATTCAATGAGCTTGTATGAGAGCACCTGGTCTGCATATGTATGTTACAACCACAGGCACTTGTGTGTTTGAGGGTTCAAGCTAAGCAATTCCCTTAGTGTGTCATCCTGCAAGAGGACAGAGCTAAGTAAGATGGAGACAGAGAGCTTTATACCATAAAGTCACATGCCATGATACAGTAATATCGTTTTGAGTCTGTCATTTAAATGTACATTGCTGTGAGACACAATGCAACAGACATTTCTTAACCTTATAAGTTCATTCAATTGTAGATTTTCATAGATCAGCATCACAAGTTGTAACTGCACTAAATTGAGGTATGAGCTATGAGTAGTGAGAACTGGCTGATACAGCAGCCATAGAAGAAGCACATGTCCTCTTCACGGACAAACTTTAAAATAATAAGCTATTGCAATGGAACAATGATTTAGTCAAAAATTCAAACACACATCTTGACAATTGGGTACGGCAATGACACGGTAGGCCAGACTCCCCCTCAATGAATATAGATTTGTATTTTCCAATAACTCTTCGCCCAGGTTTCTCCCCATCTCTCGTTGGGCTGCAGTCCTATGGTGATAACAGTCTTAAGATATTTCATTTTCAACGTCAGCCAAATCTGACCCTCTCCTTTCCTGATGTTCTTCCGAGCGGCTGTCACTGAGTCAAAGAACAAAAGTGGGAATCTTGGCTGGTTCTGATTTCCTTCCTTGTCCAGGGATGCTGACACCAGTTGAAACGTTTCAAGTAGTGCTGCAGCTGAAATCAGCTCGGCCAGCACCTAATAAGCATTCCAACTGCAATCCTCCAGGATTACCCAGTTCTGAACCACATCGCACCACACCACACAATGCATTTATCCACCAGGCCACAAGTAGAGCTTGCTTCTCATGTCATCCACAAAATAAATTATAAACAATTGTAATTGGAGTATCTCCCAAAAATGTTTTGATGTGCAATGGATTTCATTTATCAGTTTTATATACACATGATTTCATGTTTTAGCTGTTCCCTGTAATTTACTGAAGATTCCTAAACGAGGTACTATGAACTGCAAAAGCCCCACTGAACCCTTCAGTTTTGGCTCTACATGTGTCTTCAACTGCACTGAGGGGTTCGTACTGCAGGGACCAGGCAATCTTCAGTGTCAAGCCTCTGGGCTATGGACAGGCCAGGTCCCCAGCTGTGAAGGTATCTCAAAATCTGGAATCATTCTTTTCTACAAACAATAGATGCTGTTTTAAAACATTAAAACAACTTTTCTCTCTTTGTTTTAATTTCTCTTGTAACTGTACTGATTCAGTTGTAGATCTTTTCCAATTGACCTGTTCAGACATATTTTTGGAGTTGGTGGGACTGAAAGCTAAGGCTTCTGGTTCAGAGGTAGGAACACTACCACTGAACAACAAGAACCCTCATGAATTTAGTCCATTGGAGGTTAATTATATTGAGGTGGTAAGTATTAACTGGGGACTCACCTGAGCTCCTTCATAGAGGAGCTGTTTGAAAGTGTCTCCATATTGTTGCATGCATGATTTAGTGAGTACGTGTGTGCCAGTCAATATCTGAGCAGTAGTAATGAAGCCCTGTGCTCCAGAACTACATGTACTCCTGTCCATGTTGGTCCAGTACACCTGCAACACTGGCAATACATGCCAATGTGGAAAATAACTCAGATATGATTGTTTCATTTAAAAAAAAACACAGGAAAACTCCAATCCAGCTAATTAGCATCCTCTAAGTCCACTCGTAATCATGAGCAAAGTGATGGAAAGTATCATTGACAGTGAAATCAAGTGGCATTTATCAATAATCTGCTCAGTTGGAGTTCAATCAGGGACATTCAGCTCTGGATCTTGGTCGATATGTAGACAAAAGAGCTGAATTCTGGAATGAGGTCAGAATCACTGACTTCAAGGAATGAGGGTAGAACCTCTGTGCTGTCTAGAATCATACTGAGCATGGAGTAAGGTGGTGTGATTGTTGGAGGCCAATCATCTTAGCCCAGGACATCTCAGTAAGAATTCCTCGCTCCAACCATCTTCAGATGCTTCATCCAAGACCTTCCCTCCAACACAACGTCAGAAGTGGGCATGTTTGTTGATGATTACACAGTGTTCAGGACCATTTGCAGTTCCTCAAATACTGAAAAGTAGTCCCTGCTCACATGTAGCAAGATCTGCACAACACTCAGTATTGGGCTGAAAAGTGGCAAGTGACAATTGCCCTTTGCAAGTGTCAGGCAACAGTTATCCCCACCTAGACAGAATCTCACCATCGCTTATGACATTTGATGGCAATTTGTTGCTGAATCTTATGCCATCAACATCCTAGAGGCTACTGCTGAGCAGAAAAGTAACTAAACTAGCCATATAAATACAATGACTCTAAGAACAGATCAGGATCTGGTAATTGTGTGGTGAATTACTCACCTCCAGACTCCCCAAGCCCGTGTAGTCCACAAGCTACGTGGCATAAGTAAGGAGTGTAGTAGGACACACTTCGCTCGTCTGGATGAGATCAGCTCCAACAATATTCAAGATATTTCACATCATCAAAGACCAAGTATTCTGATTAATTGGAATCTCATCCACCATTGGAATCTTGTCTGCTACAGTGACAGCAGTGTGTACTCCATTCTGGATATACTTTGACTCTTGCTGACTCATCTTTGACAGCATCTTCCAATCCTACAGTCTCTACCACCAGAGGATATCATCACCAAACTCCCAACCCCACAAGGTCATACATGATCCTGATTTGGAACTTTATTTTCATCTTCCACTGTTGCTGGGTCAAAATTCTGGAACTGGTTCTCTTAAAAACATTGTGGGTGTACCTATACCATATGGACCGCGATGATTCAAGAAAACAGCTCACCACTTTCTTCTCAAGCCAATCAGGGATGGGGAATAAATGTGCACAGCCACACTCACATTCCGAGAACAAATTAAAAACAAAGTCATCCTCAAATTTGACCAAAGCCTAGCCACAATCCTTTGCTGCAGTAATAATTCTTATGTGAAGATTTGCGATGCATCAAACAGCTATCATAGTTTAAATGTGTTATTTAAGCATTATTGACATCTGGGGCCTACTGATGCTCCAATGGGCTCCAAGGTACAATTTTCTATACCATTGTCTATTTAATGAGCTAATGAGCTAATGACGCTAAATCCTTATGCAATATAACTGATAACATGTTGCTGTTTCTTGAATAGTAATTCCCCTTGGGCAGTTAGTTCTTCTTGAAAATCAAAATAGGGATAGATTGTATGCCAGCTTTGCCAATGATACTGCACTCCTGCATTTTGACAGGTTCTTACACTACAACATAATTTATTCCTATCATATTTCTTAAACTGGAAGTGATTGATTTCTTTCAGCTCAAAATATAAGTGCAGGTATTATCTTCTGACAGGCATGCTCTGCTCAGTATATCTGCTTGGACAACCTTCTCTCTTTTCTTAGAAGATGACATGAGCTGTTTTAGGATAAGAGAAGAAATATTATAAGATTAAATTTAAGTTCTTTGACTATAAAATTCATTAAATTATTTCAGCTGTAAACTGCACAAGTTTGGAGAATCCTGAGAGAGGGACCATGAATTGCTCCCATCCCTTGGGACTCTTCAGTTACAATGCTACATGTGACTTCAGCTGTGAAGAGGGGTTTACAGTAAATGGATCAGACAGTGTTCAGTGTGGAGCTTCTGGACAATGGACAACACAGACGCCGTCCTGTGAAGGTACTATGTAGACTGTGGTCTACTTTTGTTACTAAACTATTTTGAGATTGCAGAATTGCCCAAGGATATTGGTACTATATAATTACATTGCAATTTCAATAGCATTGGAACATGTATTGTTGTTTATAAGTTGTGGTTTCTGATTTAATTGTCAGTCAGAAAGCCTGCATTATCAGGTTGTCTTATTAGGCCTATCAGCCACTGGTTATCAGAACAGATGACCAGAGCAAAAGTGGCACTGGTAATATAGTGACTGGCATACCATCTCTTAAGATGACTCCCATTTGTTTGCTGCCCTGCTCTGGAAGTTCAGGCTGTTATCAGTGACAACAATATAGAATAAACAGGTAAAAACATTTACTGTTGTTCAACTGTAATGGATATAAGATGTACTTGTGCAGAAAGGCATTCGTTTCTACAAGAACACGCAATAAAATATTCTAAATTATTGCCAACGCATACAAAGATGAAATTGTATCCCTTAACCTTTGTTTAAGGTATATTTGTTTTATTTTTGTCATAATCCGGTTATGTTTCAGTTACTAGATATTACAGCCTTAGCAGGGAAATGGAAATTGCTGTAATGGTTGCACCATGAAATATTGCCAAGGCTTATGGACTGGAATAGCATAAAAATTATATCTCTGGACAGGGAAAAAAGATCGATCTAGTTTGCCTTTTACCATCCTGGTAGTCACATTATACAACAATAGTAATGAGGTTGTAGACATGCTCTCCGAGTCGGTGGGTTTGGTTGCAAGCGTTTTGTCACCCTGCTAGGTAACATCATCAGTGCACCTCCGGTGAAGCATTGGTGTTCTGTCCCACTGTTATTTATCTGCCTCGGTTTGGTGGGGTGGTTGGTATTACTTCCAGTTCTGTTTCTCAGTAGTTGGTACACGGGGTCTAATTCAATGTGTTTGTTGATGGAGTTCCGGTTGGAATACCAGGCCTGCAGGAATTCCCTGGCATGAATCTGTTTGGCTTGTGTGATTATGGATGTGTTGTCCCAGTTGAATTTGTGTCCCTCAATGTCTGTGTGTAGTGAGACAAGTGAGAATTGGTCATGTCTTTTGGTGGCTAGTTGGTGTTCGTGAATTCGTATCGTCAGTTTTCTTCCGGTTTGGTCTTTGTCGTGTTTCCCACTGTCCTTGCATGGTATTTTGTACATTTCACCGGTTCTGCTGGCTTTGGGTACGGGAACCCAATTATGGCAATCCACTTTGATCAATTAGAGTCTCGAAATTCAAAGCCATTGAATAAATTTCCACTATCAACATCCTTAGGGTTACCATTGACCGGAATATAAATACTGTGGCTACAACAGCAGCTCAGAAGTTAGGAATGCTGCAGCAAGTAACTCACCTCCTCACTCACTAAAGCCAGAACCAAGGCATAAGTAAGGAGTGTGATGGAATATTCCCCACTTGCCTGGATGAGTGCAATTATTCATACAATATCTCCAAAAGTATTATTTTCTAAAAGAAATATAACTAATTTGATTTGAAATAATGAACACTACCTGCTTCCACTGTCACCCTAGGACATTCATTTCATAGATATACCATATTGTCACTGAGAAATAATGGGTTGGATTACAATTCTGTGCAAGTGACTAAGTGAGTATTGAATGAATTCAAATTTTGCCCAATATTTCCACAGATTCCGTTTAAATTTACTTCCCTTAAAGTGCAACCCATAGTTTTTTATTCTTTTCTTCTGGACTAGGTCAAATAGCTAAATTATTGATACCCTTTAGAATCTTAAAAACAACAATCATATCAACTCTCAGCCTTAGACTTTCTGGTGATAATATGTTCAATTGACGTTACTTTTTCAAATTCATTCGTAGGATGAAGGCTTTACCAGCTATTGTCCATTCCAAATTGCCCAGAGAGTACAATGACAAAAAACAGATACAAGAAAAAGCAGCTTGATGACAAATGAATGCTTTTGTGGATTTTTGATTTTGGTGGTAAAGGAAAGAAAGCTGGTCCAATTTACTTTATTGTTCACACCAACATTCATCCAATTTCCTACTTGTTTCCATTGCAAATGACTAACAACATCATAGAAACCATTACTGAAAATTTTTAAACCAGTCTAAACAAGATGAATATCATATGTTACATAGAACCATGACTATATTTATGCAGGAAATGCAGGTTCCAAGTGAATGTCCAGAATCAAGGCATATGGGGTGTAGGCAAGAAGGTGGAATTGAAACCCAAGGTTAACAATGATCGTATTAAATGGTAGAATTGGCTCTGCGGGTCATATAATCTAGTCCTGCTTCTATTGCTTGTGTTCTTGTATAAAGATACTTAATGTATAAAATGATACCTTCCTACACTGTTTAGGAGAAGTTTAGATACTCATTGCAAAAAACGGATTTAAATTAAAAAATTAAAACCTTTTATTTCAGTTTCAAAATGCGAGTTACTGACACAGCCCGAATATGGTGTGATGAACTGCTCCCATCCTATTGGGAAATTTGGCTACACCTCGACATGTGAGTTTTGGTGTTCTGAAGGATTTCTGTTATCTGGAACAAAGTGGCTCGAATGTGATGTATCTGGACATTGGACAGCAAAGACTCCAACATGCAAAGGTAATATAGGCCACCTAACAATCGCTGACACTGTATTTTCTTTCTATTCCCAAGGATGAAGTCACAGAATGGATCATGTTTCTTTTCAAGTGTAAGATATGTAGAAAGAGCTCCATTTCTGTGCCTGCCAGGTGGAATTTTCAGAGTAACCTAGGAACCTCCCACACATGACCTCAAACCTGGCTGTGGCCGTGGGTGTGGACAGTCGGACAAGAAACCTGTCTGCCCTTCCCAGCGACTTCCGTACGGTGCCCCAGCAGATGGTCGTCATTTTAAATTGCAAAGAATTAGCAGAAATCCCAAGTTTTCACTGTAATCCTGTCCCTTTCCCACAATCTGTCCACTTTGTGCCCTTTACTTTAACAGGAAATTTGGGTTCGGTTTCTGTTGTCTCTCCAGTGCAATTGTGAAGCTTTGTGACATTGTTCAAGATAGTCATTGTGATGACGAGTTAAACAAAGGCTGAGATGGTCATTTTGATGAGAAGTTAAACAAAGGCCCTGACAATCAGACTCAATTCAGATGAATGATATGCATTCAACAGAGAATGGGAAGTTCTAATGGCATGGTTCTTCCTGTGTTAAAGAAAAGTTTCCAATTTGCCTACATAATGTAGTCACCATGCTTCAAATTTAAGTTGTCTTATTTGAGACATCTGAGTGATATGATATGGCTCTATAAACAGGAAATATATTACTTTCTGTTTGTTCTATTTCCTCCTACAGACACTAACAGACACTTGCTGAAGCATGTATGCTCTCAGCACTTTAATGTAAATGGCCATTCTTAGTCTGTAAATGTAGATTATGATTCCAGGGTATTTTAAATTAGAGAGTATTGTGTAATCTACAGCATGTCTTCGACTATTAAAAGTGCATATGTTTTCCTGCCAGGCCCGAGCTTTAACTCTTCCTAGCCCGGATCACTGCAACCAAAATTGGAAACTTCTACTACCATAGATTAGATTAGCTAACAGCGCACACTGGGGACCATTTCTGGAACATCTTAGTTTTATACTTTTAATTTGTACTGGAGCTATAGTCTTTTCCGACTAAAATTCTTTGAAGAATTCACATGCAGATCTGAGGAATTACTAATGGGGTGTATTCACCAGAGTTCAGAATTTAATAGATACGTTTTTTCTTGTTCATGTAATGCAAGCATTGCTAGCAAGGCCAACATTTATTACCCATTCCTAACTGACCTTGAGAAAGTGACTGTTACCTGCTGCCTTAAAGCACTGCAGCCACAGTGCTGTTAGGAAGGGAGTTACAGGAATTTTACCCAGTAACAATGAATGAAAAAGGTGATATATTTCCAAATCAGGATGATACGTGACTTGCATATGTATAAATATAAGAACATATGAACAAGGAAATGGAGTAGGCCATTCAGCAACTTAAGTTTGCTTTACCATTTGTTAAGATCACGGCTGGACTGATTGCAGCCTTGATGCCGTTTTACTGCCTATCTGGTTACGCCTTGATTCCCTTATTAGTCAATAACCTATCTACCTCTGCCTTAAAAATATTCAATGATCCTGTCTCCATTGGTCTCTGGGAAAGACAGTTCCACAGATTCATGTCCCTCTGAGTGAAAATAATCTTCTCATCTCCAACTCAAGTGAGACACCACTTGTTTTAAACTTAGTCCTGTGGTTTTGGTCTCTTCCACAAGGGAAACATCCTTTCAACATCTACCCCCTCAGGATTCTTCAGGAACTTATATGTTTCAAAATATTTAGCATCACATCTGCTAACATCCACTCCCTGCACCATCAATGCTCAGTGGCTATGTTGTGTACCATCTACAAAATGCATTCCAGAAATTTTGCCAAAGCTCCTTACACTGCACCTTCCAAACCCATGACTACTTTCATCTAGAAGGACAAGGGAACACCACCACCTTCAACTTCCCTTCCAAGCCATTTGGCGTCCTGACTTGGAAATATATTGCTATTCCCTCACTGTCACTGGGTCGAAATCCTGGAATTCCCTCCATAAAGGCATTGTGGGCCTGGCTACAGCAAATGGACTGCAGCGATTCAAAAGGCAGCTCACCACCAACTTCTCGAGGGCAGTTAGGAGCAGATAACACATGCTGGCCTAGCCAGCGATACCTATATCTGAGGAATGAAAAAATAAAAACTTGGGGTAAATCTTGCAGATTTCCATGCATCTGCTGCCTTGTTCTTTTAGGTGGTAGAGGCTGCAGATTCAGAGATGCTATTGAAGTTGCCTTGGCAATTTTCTGTAGTGCTTCTAGTAAATGGTTTACACTGATGCTGAAGTTCAACTGTAGTGGAGAGGGTAAATGTTTAAAATATTGGAATTGGGTACCTATCCAGCAGGCTGCTTTATCCTGAATCAAATGGAGTGTTGTTGCTGCATATTAACCAGGCAAGTGAGCAGTATTCCACCATACTCCTGACTTGTGCCTTAGGACTTGAGAGGTGATTTACTCACCTAGGAATTTTCAGCATCTGGCCCAGGGCCACAATACTTGTGGTGCTCCAATTAAATTTCTTGTAAATCGTGACATCCAAAATGCAGATGGGAGCAGAATTCAGCAGTGGTAACGCTGTTGAATATCTAAGGGAGTGGTTAGATTCTTGCAATGGCATTTGCCTGACACTTGTGTGGTGTGAATTTTGCCACTTATTTGCTTGATGTTATCCAGGGCTTGCTGCATGCAGCCTTGCACTGCTTTATTGCCTGAGATACTGAACATTGTGCAAACATCAACAAACATTCTCATCTTCTGACCTTATATGAACAGCTGAAGATAGTTAGGTGCAGGATGTAATCCTGAGAAACTCCTGCAGCATTGTCCAGGAGCTGGGTTAATTGACCTGTAACAAGCACAGCCATCTCTTCACGTGCCAAGTATGACTGCAGCCAGTGGATAATTCCCTTCCCAATTCCCCTTAACTTTGCTATTGCTCAGGCAAAGGCTTCATTGATGCCAAATGCAGTCACTTTTATCTCACCCCAAGAATTCAGCTGCTTTATTCATATTTGGACCAAGGCTGTAATAAGATCTTGAGTTGTCCTGGCAGAACTCATGCCTTTATCAAATGGCAGAGCAGGCTTGAGGCCCTCCTCTTGCTCCAGATTTATTTGCTTGTAAATCTCAGGAAGAACAGACTAAGTTGGAGCATACACCAAGCCGTTTTGGCTGATGATAGTTACAAATGGTGAAGTCTTATCTTTTACAATGCGGGCTAGGCTCCCCTATCATTGAGAGTGGGAATATTTGTGAAACCTTGTTGTCTCAGGGTGTTAGTTATCGTTCACCTTTAGGGATGGCTGGATGTAATGGAACTGAGAGCCTTGATCTGATCCATTGGTTATCGGGTCACTTAGCATTGTCAATGGCTTACTGGTACTTCTGAGTAGCAAACAAATAGTCCTGTACTGTATCTTCAGCAGGTTGGCACTTCATTTTCAGATGTGCCTAGTGCTTCTCCTGGCATGATTTCCTCCACTCCTCTATAATAAACAAAATTTCATGAAGTCAGATGGCTCTGAGACAACAAGGTGCAGGGCTGGATGAACACAGCAGGCCAAGCAGCATCATAGGAGCAGAAAGGCTGACGTTTCAGGCCTAGACCCTTCTTCAGAAAAGGAATCTGCCATTTTCAGGATATGACTTGTTTCTGTAACTTAGAGCAAACCAGAAAAGTCAGGTCATGTCCCAGTTTCCAGTTGACTGGGCAGAATCTAAGTCCAAAAACAGAAGAATCTGGACAGAAACCCAAAGGTTTTCTGTTGGAATAAGAACCGTGGACCATAAAGTTCCAGCCAAAAAGAACTGCAGGTCAGTCTAAGGCCAGCAGCTCCAGAACTCGATGGTGCCACTTTGAAGGTTGTGGTTATTCCTGTGACAACGTCCCCCTAGACTCTCATGATGAGGGATCACCCACTGAAAAGGGAAGTATTAACTGGGGTGATCTGACAGGGTGGGAGGACATGGGGAAATAGGGACATGGGGTTGGAAACAAAGACAGAGGAGTTGCTTTCAGTGGCCACACCTACCCACAGCGGGTTGAACCTATCAATCATGCACCCATTGGTGCAGGTTACGGGATTATGTGCCTGAAGCTGAAATAATTGCAATCTGGGAGGGAGATATGTCCTAAAGTGATTACTAATTGACCATTTAAATGACTTAATTGGTGGTTAGGCAGGAAAGTGGAGCTTGGCCTTCTGTACAGAAATTAATTTGGCAAGGGCAGGAAGGTGGCAGGGGTCTGGTCCACCAATATGCTGTCTAACCAAGTTCATTTCCTGCCACTGGGCCTGGAAGATTCTGCCAATTATGGTCAAATAGCAGCATGAACAATGTCACTAATATTCCAGCCATAAAGTGCGACATGCTGAAGAGTCCAGACAGAGGAACTTATAACTGCTCCCATCCAATTGGAGACTTCAGTTACAGATCATTGTGTGACTTCTCTTGCACTGAAGGATTTACATTGATAGGTTTAGAGAGACTGGAGTGTGGAGCTTCTGGACAATGGACAGCACAGATTCCCACATGTAAAGGTATTGTCTGCACCAAATTAATAGACTGTTATGTTTTCTATGAATGTTTTTAAAAACTTGGTTTAATTTCTACAATAGTTTACACATTAAGGCTATGCTCCACTTTACAAATGAACTTTTGAATTCCAATTTCTGTTGCAGCTGATTATTTTAGAATAAATATAGACTGAGGCAAAGCCTTCAATAAGGCTGATTATACATCTGTACCATTTTATTGTGGAGAAAAAATTTAGTTTATCCCATCTTTCAACATTCTAAATGTAAATGCTAATTTCATATTTCAGCTGTAACCTGTCAAACACTGACTCAGCCTGAACGAGGGACAATGAACTGCAATCATCCCTTTGGAGATTTCAGTTACAACTCTGTCTGTGACTTTAATTGCACCGAAGGTTATGTACTACAATGGTCAGACAAGCTTCAATGCCAAGCCAATGGACTGTGGACAAAGCAGATTCCGACCTGTAAAGGTATTAAACAAATATATATAATAAATTATTTGTTTTGTTAAGGACATACAAACATACATATTACGGGTAATCATCAACCACTGGTCCTTCAAGCCTGCTCTGCCATTCAATAAAATCTCCAATAAATTAGTCAGATATGATTTCCCTTTCATATTGTTGGCTTTGCCTGATTTCCTTAAATTTAATTGAAATTTCCTGCTATAACATGTACAATAATAGCTTCTAACATTTTCATGAAACAATTTTCCGCTAACTGACCTATACATTTTTTGCTTTCTGTCTCCCTCCCTTTTTTGAATAATGCAGCTACATTTGGTATTTTCCATTCTACTGTAATCTTCCCATAATCTGTGGAATTTTGGAAAATTAAAATCAATGCATCAACTATCTCACTAGCCGCTTCTTTTAAGACTCCAGGATGAAGTTGATCACGATTCAAAGAATTGTCAGGCCACAGCTCCAACAATTTGCTCAGTCCCACTTCCTGGTGTTTGTAGTTTTGAGTCCATCCCTTCCTTCCATTTACTGTATTATAGATATTTCTGGGATGTGACCTACACCCTTTATGGTGAAGACTGATGCTAATACCTGTTCAATTCACCAGCTGTCTCCTTATTTTCCATGATTAGTTCCCCATCCTGGCCCTGTTACAGTGTTCCAATGAAGCTCAGTACACCTCATTTCTTACTTGGACACTTTACAGCCATCAGGACTCAACACTGAGTTCAATATCTTCAGAGCATGAACACTGCCCTCTGATTTTTAATGCATATGTGCTTCATCTTTCAGACGCCTACTGCATTTAAATTTGTAAATCATTCGTATTTCAGCTATAAACTGTCAGACACTGTCTCGTCTTGAACAAGGGACAATAAACTGTTTTCATCCCATTGAAGAATTCGGTTACAAGTCAACATGTGATTTTGACTGTATTGAAGGATTTGTGCTCAATGGGCCAGACAGGCTCCAGTGTCAGGCCAGTGGACAATGGACAGCAGACATTCCTGGATGTAAAGGTACTGGAGAAACTGATATGCAAAACTGAAAAAGCTAATTTTACATCTGCATTATTTAAATGTTGAAAATATAATATGTCACATCTTTCATTATTCCAATTGTAAATTCTCATCCTGTATTTCAGCTGTAACCTGTCAGACACTGACACAGCCTGACCGAGGAACAATGAGATGCTCTCATCCTATAGGAGACTTTAGTTACAATTCAACATGTGATTTTAACTGTGATGAAGGGTTTGTACTGGACGGATCAGGTAGACTTCAGTGTCAAGCTAGTGGACAGTGGACAGCACATACTCCCAACTGCAAAGGTACTGGTGAACATTAGATGGCCCATCAAATATTAAAATGATGCAACAATCCCATCTATCTGTGCACCTATAAAATGTTGAGTACTTCTAAACCAGTTCAGCTTTCAAAACCTTTAAACATCTATCATTTATAATGTAATCTTGTATTTTAGCTATAATCTGTCCATCACTGATAACTAACCTGGAAGCAGAACCAGGAACTGTTTCAACCCCACTGGAGACCTTCATTACAACTCAACCTAAGACATTAACAACAACAACAAAAACAGAAGTTGCTGGAAAAGCTCAGCAGGTCCAGCAGCATCTGTGAAGGAAAAGTCAGAGTTAACGTTTCGGGTCTGGTGACCCTTCCTCAGAACATTAACAACAACATAGGTTTAATTTCTAGGGAAGTGGGTAGATGTCAGTGTTTGGTAATAAACTTGCTCCGTTGATAATATTGTTACTCACCAAATGAATATTCTTTTATAAGTTTGGCTTTAAATTTTTCAGTCAAAGCTGGCTTCATCTTTCCAGCTCTGTATCTTTACACATGCATATAGGATGTCACATGTATAGAAATGAGCTGAGATTCCAGTCTTGTATTTCAGCTGTAACCTGTCAGACACTGACACAACCTGAACGAGGGACAATGATATGTTCCCATCCCATCAGAGACTTTAGTTACATCTCAACATGTGATTTTAACTGTGATGAAGGGTTTGTACTGAACGGCTTAGGCAGACTTCAGTGTCAAGCCAGTGGACAGTGGACAGCACACGCTCCCAGCTGCAAAGGTATAGCGACTTTCACGTAATGTTCATTTCTGTAGGATTACAAAACTTTTAAGGAAAGATGATTTTGGATCCACAATGCTGTGAAACTTGTTCGTATTTCAATGTTCTAACTTGAAGTTTTGATCCTGTGTTTCAGCTGTAACCTGCCAGGCACCGACACTGCCTGATCAAGGAGCATTGAACTGCTCCCATCCCATTGGAGATTTTAGCTATAACTCAACGTGCGATTTTAGCTGCAAGGAGGGATTTGTACTGCATGGGTCAAAAAGGATTCAGTGTCAAGCTAATAAAGAGTGGACAGCAGAGATCCCTAACTGTAAAGGTACTGGTGAACTTTACATAGATTGTCATTTTAAATTAATAGAAAGGTATTCTTTATTTGAAATTGTGGGTATTTCAAAAGAATGTATGTGGAACATCTCAAAATGTAACCTAATTTACCTAAATTTGACATTTGTATTCAACTGTAAGCTGTCAGAACGAATACAACCTGAATGAAGGACAATATCATGGAATCCCTACAGTGTGGAAACAGGCCCTTCGGCCCAACAAGTCCACACCGACCCTCAGTGCATCACCCAGACCCATCCCCCTATATCCCACCTAATCTACACATCCCTGAACACTTGAGGCAATTTAGCATGGCCAATCCATCTAACCTACACATCTTTGGATTGTGGGAGGAAACCGGAGCACCCGGAGGAAACCCACGCAGACACGGGGAGAACGTGCAAACTCCACACAGACAGTCGCCCGAGGGTGGAATCGAACCCGGGTCCCTGGCGCTGTGAGGCAGCAGTGCTAACCACTGAGCCACCATGCCGCCCTAATATCCTGCACCTATCTCAACAGATATTTACATTAAACTGTGCTGAAGGATTAGTACTGCATGTGTTAGACATGCTTCAATTCTGTGATCACACTGACTGCCATTTGTGCAGTTGGAATGTGCCCTAATGCTGTAACATGCATTAGCCATGACCATAGCACTGGCACCCACATGAACAAATGGGAAATCATTGCATACCATGTTTATAAAATACAGGATAAATGCAATCCTGCCAATAAATATCCCATCAGACTACTCTTAATTATCTTCAAAGTGATAATAAGGGTCATTGACAGTGCCATCAAATAGCAAATGATTCAAGTAAGTAAATTCTAACCACAGGAAAATAATTTTAAACTAGCAGCATACAACTTTACTAGTTAAAACTCTAACGCCCTTTAAAATCCTACGCATACATACAGACAGATACAAACATGTTGTATTGGGTTGAGAAAAAAAAATTGGGAAATCACATAGTTCAATAACACAGCCTAAAGGCTTGGCTAAGGTCTTCCTTTTCTTCCTAAGAACCTCGGTTTTCCAACGTCCTTCTTTCCTGTTTCTCAATTCTTTGCTTAATATGCAGGGAATTTATACATTAAGTATTCAGTTTCAAAGTTAAAGACAACAATTCTAAGGTTTTGGAGTAGATTTGTGGCTCAGGTTGTGGGTGTTGAGGTTGTTGAGGTTGGTTGGCTCCCCAAGCTGGTTTCTTGTTTCGCAGACGTTTCGTTACCATGCTTGGTAACATCCTCAGTGCAGCCTCCGATGAAGTGTCGGTGTATTTTCCCAACTGGTTTTTAAACTCTGGGGTCCGTTGAGATGGATTGCCTCACTTCCGGTTTTCCTTCATAGTGGAATGTACATGGGGTCGAGTTCAATATGTTTATTAATAGCATGCTTCGTGGAACCAGTGAAACCATCTCCAAGGACAACATACTCAAACTATTGGATCTATGCCTCACCACCCACTTCACTTTCAACGGCCAAACATACGAGCAAATCAATGGGACACCCATGGGATCGCCTATCTCCAGACTCATAGCAGAGGCAGTGATGCAAAGACTAGAAAGGACTGCCCTTCCGCAAATCCAACCAAAACTATGGATACGCTACGTAGACGACACCTTTGTCATCATTAAACGGATCAAATTAGAGGAGACACACAAACTTATAAACAACACCCTCACCGGAATAAAATTCACCAGAGAGGAGGAGAAGAACAAACAGCTCCCATTCCTGGACGTCATGGTAGAGCGCAAGACAAATGGGGAATTGTAAATGAAAGTACACAGAAAAGCCACACACGGACCAGGTACTGAACTTCAACAGGCACCACCCCAGCACACACAAACGAAGCTGCGTGCGAACACTACTTAAAAGGGCAACAACACACTGCAGCAACACAGAACTATGCCAAGAGGAAGAAGAATACCTCGTCCAGGTTTTCAAGGATAATAGATATCCAAAGAACTGGGTCAGAAGATGCCTACACGAACAGCATCAGAAAGATGCTACATGCCCCGACACACTCATCACACTGCCCTACATCAGCAACATGTCGGAACTCACCACAAGACTCCTACGACTGCTGGGCATCAGAGTGGCACACAAGCCCATGTCAACCCTATGACAACTGCTCACCCAATCTAAGGACCCACTCCCCGCCATGGACAGGACCAATGTCATCTACAAGATCCCCCGCAGAGACTGCAAGAAACACTACATCGGACAAACAGGAAGGAAACTAACAACAAGAGTACATGAACACCAACTGGTTACAAAAAGACATGACCAATACTCACTCATTGCAATCCACATGGACAAGGAGAACCACCATTTCGACTGGGACAACACCAAGACCCTGGGACAGGCTGGGCAGAGACTGGCACGAGAATTCGTAGAAGCCTGGCACTCCACGAAGCGTGCTATTAATAAACATATTGAACTCGAATGCATTTTACATTCCACTATGAAGGAAAACCGGAAGTGAGGCAATCCATCTCAACAGACCCCAGAGTTTAAAAACCAGGTGGGAAAACACACCGACACTTCATTGGAGGCTGCACTGAGGATGTTACCCAGCATGGTAATGAAACATCTGCAAAACAAGAAACCAGCTCGGCGAGCCAACGAACCTCAAAGACAACAACTCACGGTAAATGGTGGGGGGGAGCAACTATCTTTGGCTTTGAGTCACTTGCTGCAGAGAAATACAGTATAGAGATAAACCCACTTCTTCCAGGCTGGAAAATGTACCCAGACACACACACACACACACACACACACACACATATACACATGCTCAAACATACACACACACACATATACACATGCTCAAACATACACACACACACACACACACACATATACACATGCTCAAACATACACACACACACACACACACACACACACATATACACATGCTCAAACATACACACACACACACACACACACATATACACATGCTCAAACATACACACACACACACATATACACATGCTCAAACGTACACACACACATGCACAAACGCACAAACAACCATACATACATACAGACACACACACAAACATGCACACCCGTACACGCATATACAGAAACACACATGCAAATGTACACACACATACATACACAGACACACACACATTTCATGAAATAGCTGTAGGAATTGGATACTGCCAGATTAGGTCCTGACAACATTTTGGCACTGAAGACATGCCTTCAAGTGTCTGAAAGGTTTTCTATGGTGAAGACAGACATAAATCAATACATCTGCCATTTCCCGAGAGATAGCAAGAACTGCAGATGCTGGAGTCAGAGATAATACAGTGTGGAGCTGGAGGAACACAGCAGGCCAGGCAACAACAGAGGAACAGGAAAGCTGACATTTTGGGTTGGGACCCTTCTTCAGAAATCTTTCTGAAATAAAACAAATCTTGGAAATAAGTGCCATCTTTTATTTTTAAATGGCTCTGCCATAATTCTGACACCATAAAAATCCTCAGTCTCTATAATTTGTATTCATTTAGCCTATTTTCTTCAATCGAGAGTAGGCTGTTGGATGTGCTTCTCTGGGTATTAATGATAAGTTTAATTCAGGGTGAAAGGAGGCGGGTAAAATGGGAAGTGCACGAAAACTATGTGGTTAAATCATTAGGTTAACTTTGGTCTGTCTGTAGTTACTGATATAATGTATTTCTCACTAAATAAACTGCTATTACTTTGTGTTACAGAGGGTGCCACCGTGTCAAAGTATACTTCCAACATTATTAGCAAGGGTTAATTTACCATTTATGTCACCAATTTAATTTCTTGCACGTAGCTGCAGCATTCACTTAACAGCAGTGACTCAACCTAAAGTAAGTTATTAGATCTAGAAGTGTTGGGGACACACTATTGGTGTGAAAGGCACAATGTTAATGAAAAATCTTTCCAGCTTTTGTTTTGATTTGTCATATGAGATCAATCTGTCATCTCAACTGACAGAATAGTTGTGGAAGATGGCTGTTTAAACCATATTAAGAAAGAAAACTGCTGAACATAAAATACAAAGTTGCAAGCACAATACTTATTTTTAACTTCCGTTATCTCATAATATTTTAAGACAATTCAGTTTATTGTTACTTCTGAGAAGATACTGAGATGATCAAGCTGATTTGGGATATCAGGAATTTAAGTTCATGAGGAAATCTTAATAAATATGGCATGTTTCTTTAGAAAGTGAAAATTCAAAATTGCCTAATTGACACATTCAAAATTATAGAGAGTTTTCACAAAGGTGGCCAGTGAAAATGAAATGAGGCAGTAATTGAAAATTCAGGACGAACTTTATCATACAGAGAATGGGAGTTATAGTGTAAACCACAACAGAAGATCACAGAGTGAACAGTGTTAATGGGTTCAAGTGAACATTCAATGTATGTCTGAAGAAAGAAATAACTGAATGATAGGTGAAATTGCAGGTAAATTGGATGGTTGTAAATGAATGGATAGACTTCTTGAATTTAATGGATTTATTCTTTTCCAAAAACATTTTCATTGAATCAAAGAAGCCATTACTTCACAGAGATAGTAGGAACTGCTGATGCTGGAGAATCTGAGATAACAAGGTGTAGAGCTGGATGAACACAGCAGGCCAAGCAGCATCAGAGGAGCAGGAAAGCTGACGTTTCGAGTCTGGATCCTTCTTCAGACCATTACTTCACAAATACTTTTTTTTTCAAATTCTCTTTCATGTTAGGTCTGCAACATTGTGTCAGAATTCTTCCCTATTAATGGTTGACTTTTTCCGAAGTAAATGAAGGGATGTGATGCACTAATAAAAAAAATCTCTATTGTTTCAGCTGTAAGATGTAACATACCGAAGGGTCTGAAGCATGGTACCATGAGCTGCTCCCATCCTAATGGAGAGTTTAGCTACCAATCAGTGTGTGACCTTGGCTGCATGAAGGGGTTCAACTTGAATGGAAGGGACCGGTTTGAATGTACAGCCTTAGGGCAGTGGACAAATGAGATGCCAAGTTGTGAAGGTATGTGATTGCTTCAAAAATGAAATTATATCGTTTTTTAAAACATTTTGTTCCTTCATTTTTATCTTAAAAATCTCCTTCATGTTGTTCAAAGTGTCAGTGCTCTGTTGAAGAGGGCAGGAAAAGGTTTTGTTATTGGAGTATCAGGTAAATTCAAACATGCCTTTCCACTGGGGAAGGGAGGACAAATTTAAAAGCCTCTGTCCTTGCTTGTTTGTCCTATTCGCTTGTACTTGTCCCAAAAGCAGCATTGGTAAAAGCCTAGGATGGCACATTTGCCTATCTTACCTCCAGTCATTTCTCTGTTTAAGCACATCTGTGGTGTAAGCAGTGAACTTGCCTGGTGGCTGCTTGATTTAGGAAAAGATATCTAATATAGATGCTGTATGTACAGAAATGATTTTTATTTTTGGCATTATTTACATAAAAATAATTTCAAGTTATGCAATTCTATGAGAATCATTTTGCAAAATAGTAAATGTTGAAAAACATTGATTATGTCAATAATTATTGGCCAGTGATATAGTGTGCTCATAATAATGTCACTTCTTGAAATCCAACACAGTGGTGAAGTGTCAGGAACTGAATATTGATCACCCGACAATCATGAACTGTTCACATCATCTTGAGAATTTCAGCTACGGCTCAATATGTGATTTTAACTGTGTCGAAGGCTTTAAATTGGAAGGATCTGAGAGACTCCAGTGCAATGAATCTGGACAATGGACAGACGAGGTTCCCTATTGTAACGGTACTGTTTAGAACATCCAGTTAAAATAGAGTGACTTAATGCCACTAAATGATTCCTTTGAAAATTTGTATAAAAACACACGTCGTTTATGTACTACCTGAGAATAGGTTTTATGTGTTGAACTATGGGAAAGAGACAGAGAGTGTGGCTTTGTTAGTACATGAACTGCTCCGTGTTTTATAGCTCATGCCCAATGTACCAGAAAAGTCCGGGGGTGGATCTCTGGTCTGTGCTCCACTAATTCCAGATAGAGATATGGAAAAGTGCTATAATTAGCCTTAGTTCCCAGCACTAAGGTTTTCTACTCTTGCCAGCTATGTGCAGACCCACTAGGGTGGTGTACATTACATGAGTGTAGGAGTGGGTTTCATTATGAGGGTATTCCATAATCAAATAATTTTATCACACTCACTGTGGAAGCTTTTTCATGGACACATTTTGTGATTCCAATAAAATAACATAAGCTAATACCAGTTTGATACTTCACAATACACATTATCATGAAGACTAACTAAATGAAAGTTGACATTAATTGAAGGATACTTGGTGCCTCCAAGCTCTCCCTTTCAACAGATTTGTACCATGTACAGCATGGAAACAGACCCTTTGTTCCAACTCATCCGTGCCAACCAGATATCCTAAATTAATCTAATCCCATTCACCAGCATTTGGCCTGTATCCCTCTAAACGCTTCCTATTTATATACCCATCCAGATGCCTTTTAAATGTTGTAATTGTACCAGCCTCCATCCCCTTTCTCTGGCAGTTCATTCCATACACACATGGGGCATGTCATCTTCGGGCAGTCTGGCCCTTAGAGTCAATGAATCTTACAGAACAGAAGCAGACCATGCAACTCATTGTGACTAAGCCAAAAGATCTTTTCAATTTAGTCTCACTGTTTAAGTCAAACAGATCACTGAGTTGGATTATTAGCTGCACCACAATAGCTAATTTCTGTTAATGCAAAAACAAGGAGTGCCACTGAGGGTAGTGCATTTGATGTAGCCTATATGTATTTTAGCAAGGTTTTTTATGAGATCCTACCTGATAAACTGACCACCAAAGTAAAACCCATAGGATTCAATGCCAAGTAGCAAGATGGGACCAAAATTGGCTCAGAGACAGGAAGCAAAGTGTAATGGCTGTTGGTTGCTTTTGTGACTAGACAGTTGTTTACAGTGGAGTTCTGCAGAATTCAGTACTGGACCCTCACTTCTTGCAGTATCAATGATTCACACTTAAGTGCAGGGGAATAATTAAAAAGTTTGTGGACAGTATAAAAATTGGCTGGCTGTTTGATAATGATGAAGGAAGACATCAATGGACGAGTCAGGTGGGCAGAACTGAGACAAATGAAGCTCAATCCAGAAAAGTATGAGGTAGTGCATTTGGGGAAGGCTAATAAGATGGGAATATGCAATAAATAGTAGGATACTGAGGAGTGTGGAGGATCAGAGGGATCTTTAAGTGCATGTCCAGAGATCCCCGATGGTGGCTGGACAGGGAGATAAAGTGATGAAGAAAGTATATGGGATACTTGTCTTTGTAAGCTAAGGCTGACAGACTCTGTTGAAACTCGCAAAACATGAGTTAAATCACAACTCTGATCACAGTTCTATAGGAGAGATGTGACTGCACTAGTACAGAGGAGATTTATGAGCGTGCTGCCTGTATTGGACAATGAGTGAGTGTTGTTTTCCTTGGAACAGAGGAGACTGAACAGACATTTATCTAAGGAGAATAAAATTATGAGGAACCACTTGAAGTGGATGGGAAGGACCTATTTAGTTGAGGGCTTGCTAACCAGGATCTGTAGATCTAGATCATGATGTAACAAGTTTGGAGGGATTGTAAGGGGAAACCTTTTAATTCAGATGGTGCTGAAGGCCTGAAATTCACTATCTGAAAAGGTGGTAGAGACAGTAACCCTCACAATCTTAAATAATACTTAGTCATATACTTGAAATGCTGCGACCTAAATGACCACAAACATGGCCCCATGTCAACTGGCACGGACACAATGAGCTGAAATTCCCTGTGTTCCTCTAATTCTGACCTCTTCAATACCTCACATTTGAATTGCTCCATCAATCGTGTCTATGCCTTGAACTGCTTTGATTCTAAGCTTTAGAATTCCTTCCTGAAGCTGTCAAGTTTACTTTCCTCCAACACACACCTTAAAACCTGACCTCTTTGATCAAGTTTTTAGTTGTCTGCCCTAATATTTCCTCATATGACTTTATGCCATGTTTTGTTTTATAATGAAGCGCATTGGGATATTTTATTATGTCAATATATGAATGCAATATTAATCAATGCTAACGTGAAATTCATAATATAATGCATACAGCGGGGGCAAAAGCTTATAAATATAGCTGGGGCAAATTGCTGAACCATTATTAGACTGTGACAAAACAGCAATATGTAGATATCAATGTACTAGGTACACCATTTGATGGTCTAATGGTCTTTTTATCTTTAGAGCTTTTAGGGCTACCCCCTTCAGCAAGTCCTCTGATCTCTATCAGTGCAGTTGCAGCAGTTGCTGTCCTTGCTGGTATCCTTGCTATGATTGCCACATTGATTAGAAGAAAGCTGAAAACAAAAGGTAAATCATAACTACTAACTATCAGAATGAATCTTTTATACTTGTAAATGATGTGACTTGAGCCACCGCTACATAGCTACTGGGGTGACAGGAAAAAAAAAATCACACCACTGGAAGATTGGCCCAGATTTTCCAATCCTAGTAATGAAAAATGGTCAGATGTTTCTCACTATTGAGGAAAACAATGGAATTGGAAGTTGCAAGGAGTGAACTTACATTGGGATCCCAAAATTCTGATATGCCAGAAATGGTTCCATAGGAGCGCCAGGGGATGGTTTTGCTGGGACATGTCAGCATGTAAAGGTGAGTTGTTTGCCTGGAATTTAACTACTTTTTTACACTATTTATTCATGTTACACTTAATAGGTGTACAGGAGAGGTGTCTTCACAACCATGTCACCCTGGCTCACCAACCAACTTTTACCCTGGTTCACCCCCTACCTGGCTCACTGCCATCCTCTTCTCTCCTCCCCATCACCTTCCTCATCCACCCACTTGCTCCTCCTTCTTCCCTCACCCACTTCCCTTAACTGTCTTCATCCTCTCCCATCTCCTCCTCCAAACTATCCCTCCTCCCCGCCACCGTTCTCCTCCCCCATCCCTTCCCTTCCTCCCCATTCCATTGTCCCCCCACCCTTCCATCTGTCTTCAACCTTTTTCCAATTTAAAACAAGAGATGTCCTTTGCAGCTGGACCACAGTGTAGCAAGAGAAGCCCCTCCACAAGGTAGCCTGGGTGACCACTTTGCAGAACACCTATGTTCTCTCAGCAGGAATAACCTCAAGTTCTAATCACCTGCTACTTTGACAGCCCACCATGTTCCCACACCAGCATCTCTGTCGCAGGCCTGCTCAGTGTTCCAGTGAGGCTCAGTGCAAGCTCAAAGAATAACATCTAATTTCCGTTTGGGGACCCTGAAGCATCCAGGACTCAACATTGAATTCAATAACTTTACAGCCTGATTCCATCCTTCCATGATTTCTTTACCCACCCCACACACAATCTTGTTATGATTCGGGTTGCTTTTCACACAGCCATCCCATTTTCACTTAGACTCAGGCCGATTATCACGTTCCGTGGTTTGCTCTCAGTGCAGACTACCCCCTCTTTGCTACCCTCAGCTCTCATTTCTGTTTTTGTTTCAGGTCTCTAGCATCCGCAGTTCTTTGTTTTATATTAGCCTGTGGTTAAAGCTAAACTCGGGCAGGCTGGCTGTGAGTGGCTGCAAGTCTGCATTGTGCACTGGCCTCCCTCACCCAGCCCATTTTGTCACCTACAGGCAGCTAAACCAGCCCCCACCACCCACGGGGATTTGGAGGCTGACTGGAAAATCAGTAAGCTTTTGATAAACTCAACTGGCTACGCATCACTTGTGAACAGGTAGCCTGGGGAGGGGTAAAAAGTCTCTTCAGAATGTATAATTCATGGACTCCTGTGGCTTAGTGCTTTGTCTTCCTCCATGTGTCAAGCTAGACAGTAAGTGTAACTAGCTGTTTAATCAAGGATAACATTCTGTTACTTAACCGTACTGTTCTTGCCTGACATCCAGACATATACTTTCCGGTAGGAATCACTAGATGCAAATTAAGTTTGGGATTTCTCCTAAGCTTTCGTCTCTGCCTAGTTCAGAGACAGAGGTTGGTTAGCTCAGATGGCTGGAAGGCTGGTTTGTGCTGCAGAATGATGCCAATAGCATGGGTTCAATTCCCACACTGGCTGAGGTCACTATGAAGGACTCTCCTTATCAACCTCTCCCCTTGCCTGAGGTGTGGTGACCCTCAAGTTAAACTCACCTCAAGTCATCTCTCTCTATTGAGTCCTCTTGGACTATGGTGACCTTACCTTGGCCCTTTTTGCTATGTCCAGAAACACAGGCCCAGGATAGCTTTCCTACTCCTGCCTAGCTGAAATCACTCATCATGTTTTACTAGTTCAAGTCTGAAAGTTTTAAAACTTAAGCTTTTTAAGGTACAAGTGTTAATATCCTATTTTGTTTCAATTGTTTTCAGAATATGATACAACAAAGCTCAACTCTGACAGGTAGCTTCAATTTATTTTACATTTTGAAAAAGATTTATTTTTCTGCTGTACAAAGTGGGAATGGTGATCTGAGAAATTAAATGATTCTTCATTTCATTTGGCCATTGTCAGTGCCAGGTACCCTTGATGCGTACTGTATAGTGGCTTCAATGTACAGCTTCTTCTACAGTCCCTAAAAAAAAACGCCCTCTCTCTAGCTTTGGAAGAGCACTACTTACTTTACCAGTATAATACCTCACCCATATAAATTATCCATACAGTTTTTCCTTAGGAAAAGTGCCATTAATGTCATCTGATATGATGATATCACTGTCAATTGTCATATGAAAAAACATTTGGTTTACTAGTGTCTTAGACCATAGACCATAAGGTAAAGGAACAGAATTAGGCCATTCAGCCCATTAATTCTGCTGCACCATTTGATCATGGCTGATGTTTCTCAATCCCATTCTCCTCCCTTCTCCCTGTAATCCCTGATCTTCTTAAGAAGCTGTCCAACTCTGTCTTAAAGACACTCATTGACTTGGCCTCCATAGTACTCTGCGGCAATGAGTTCCACAGGGTCACCACCCTCCGGCTGAAGAAATTCCTTCTCATCTCAGTTGTAAAGGGTCATCCCTGCACTTTGAGGCTGTGCTCCCGGGTTCTAGTGTCTCCTGCTAGTGGAAACATCTTCTCCACATCCACTCTGTCCAGGAGTCTCAGTATTTCTGTTAGCTTCAATGAGATACCCCTATGCCCCCATCCTTTTAAACATCAAGTACAGACCCAGAGTGCTGAACCACTCCCATGACAAGCCCTTCATCCCCGAGATCATTCTTGTAAACTTCCTTCAATGCCAGCATATATTTCCTTAGATACAGGACCCAAACTGCTCACAATATTCCAGTCTGAGTACAGCCTTATACAGCCTCAGCAATACATCCTTGCTCTTGTATTCTAGCCCTCTTGAAATGAATGCTAGTATTGCATTTACCTTTCTTACTGCTAACTGAACCTGCATGTTAACCTTAGAATCCTAAACTAGGACTCCCAAGTCATGTTGCGCTTCAGCTTTCTGAAGCCTTTCCCCATTTAGAAAATAGTCTATGCCTTTTTTCCTTCCTACCAAAATGTATAACCTCACACTTTCCCACATTGTACTCAATCTGCCACTTCTTTGCCCACTGGCCTATAATGTCCAAGTCCTTTTGCAGCCTCTCTGCTTCCTCAACACTACCTGTCCCTCCACTTACCTTTGTGTCATCTGCAAACTTAGCAACAATGTCCTCCTTAATGTATAATGTGAATAGTGTGGTCCCAACACTGACCCCTGCGGAACTCCACTAGTCACCGGCTGACATCCTCGAAAAGACCTCTTTATCCCTATTTTCAGCCCTCTGCCAGTAAGCCAATCCTCTATCCATGTCTGTACCTTACCTTCTACCAAAATCTCAGGGATAATAATGTAGAGCAAATAAAGTGGAGAATGTCATCCCAAACCTACAGACTGGCTTTGAACACAAGCTTTGAAGAAAATAGACAAAGTACGGACTCTCTGTACACTTTGGTCCCCAGTAAACATTTTAAGCTTTGTTTTATTTCCAGGTTATATTGATTTAGATGATCTGCTGATACCCTGACAAAGACAGAAAGTGAAGTAGTAGAGTCTGTCTTTGCAGATATTGAATGGAAGACAAATAGATTGATTGGATGGCCTTGAACATGTCTATGTGATGTAAGGAAGGAGAGATTTAAAGTAGGCAGCAAGATTCTGAATTCAGAGCAGATAGCGTAATGAGAATTGAGTTCAGGTTGGAACCATTGAGAATGATAAATTGTTCATTGCAAAGGCAAAGGAAAGTAACCATCATGCATTACTTAGGATGAACAAAATATATCATAGCTCACAATGATCGATGGCACTGGAGATCTGCTAGCACTTATACAAACACACATTGGACTTTTCCAGCCTGGAGGGCAGGCGGGAGGCAAGAGAGCTCTAAAGTCAGATGAGATGGTGAGGGAGTGGGCAGCAATGGGGATGGCAGCACAGCATCAAGCTCATCACCTACATAATACCAGTGGTATTTACCAGCAATGTGGTAGGTGTTGATCTCCCATCACTGCTTCCTGCCCACTGACCTCCACCCCACCTTATGATAGCCTGTCTGACTGGCCCCAGAGAAGCTGCTTCACATGCCTTTAACCTGGTTTCCAGTGACATTCCTGTGATATTGAAGCGTAACTGCAGTCCCAGCAGAATCCACTGCTCCTAGTGGTGCTGTTGGGGATATGGAGTTGCCGGCCATCAGCTTGATTGTTTTCTCCCTTGTTGGGGCAAAAGTCACGACATCAGAAAATTAACTTCTGAGCTATGTTTCTAGGGCTGACAGAAATGAGTTTGTGTTTGATTTTTCAGTTAGTGAGCAGGTCCATCCCCTCCTGTGTAAAATTCAGCAACGAGTGTGCATTCCGTCCATCTATTACCAGGCATCACCACACCTCAGAGAATACCGCTGATAATGAAAACCTGTAACATTTGCACCATAAACATTTAAACTGTTAATTGAAGATGTGAAGCTGGTCATTGTCTAAGAAGCTGAGTCCACGTGTGTTCAGAAATGTAGATTGTTGCAATAAACTTAATTCCAATTTTGTTTTTGAACAATGTCTATGAAAAACACTCTGCAAGGTCAGTTACTATTAAATTATTCTGATTTGTCTTTTTCCAGTACTGAAGGCTTAGAAGGTACGTTTGAGAATCCAGTGTTCGACAATTCTCCTGAAGGCAAGATTACAAATCTCATTAACATATTGTACTGTATGAGAAGAATCTAGTTTGTAACAATCTTAGAGAAACTTTCTGAAATTTATTGAGGAAGAGTACCTTTTTAGTTTTCAAAAAAACAGTGTTGTTTTGGAATATAGTTCTCTAGGTGTTGATGGCTGTCTATTACCTGCGTTGGGAACCAGAGGTGCAAACTGGAATTCTGCTGCAGGCTCCAGTGACTTTCTGGTCAGTGCACTTCAGCAGCAGCCAACATACTCCATAGCTGAAAGATCCTGACGGATGAAGACCAAAACTCAGTAGGCTTATTACTTTTATATTGTTCCAAGAGTCCTTGCATCTTTCCTCTACTTTGGTCATTTGGCATCACAGACTAACATCTAATTGCTGCTAACTTTTTTTTAATCAATTAGATGTGGTTAACAATGTAATAATGATCTGAGAATCAGTTTTGTGATGTTACTTGATAGTTAATTATTGACCAGACACTGTGGATAACTCTCTCGCTCTTCTTCGAGCTGGACCTCAGTTTAATGTCTTGCTTGAGAGGTGTCACCTCTGACAAAACAATGCTGCTTCACTACTGCACTGAAATATTAGCTCAGGTTTTTTTAAGTACATGGCCATGGACTGGGACATGAACCCAGAACCTTGTGATTCACTGGCAAAAGAGCTACGAACTCTGAGCCAGAACTGACACATTTGGAGGAATGTCCCAGCCCAGGGCCCAGTGTAGGCTGTGTTTTAACAGAGTGCCCTGTGTTTGGGCATCTCATTGATGGTCATCGAACATCCAGTGTTGAGAATGCTAGAATGCCAGAATGCCTCACCCTGCATCTTCCAGAAAGAGCAATATCTTGTATTTCCTCACCGGAGCAGGTGTTTACATACGGGATATAGTTTTAGGTCAGGAGTGGCTATCAAGGAGAAGCCTCAGAAATTCAAGGGTAGTATAATGGGACATGAAATTCAGATCTATAATGCCATTGCACACAACATGGTAGAAGCCAAATGTCCTCTTAGTGTGGGGCAATGCACTTCTATCGCCACAGAAGGAACTGATCTGGTGCTACTACATTGTCAAACAGTCTACCAGGTGCGTCAGCTTTCCTGTTCCTCTGAAGCTGCTTGGCCTGCTGTGTTCCTCCAGCTCCACACTTTGTTATCTCTGACTCTAGCATCTGCAGTTCTTGCTATCTCTACCAGATGGTATGATGCCGAACCTCCAAATATGAGCCACACAATATCAGTATCCCCTACATCTGTGCATACCCATCAGCTGTCTCTTGTCTGTAGCTCCACTGAAGTTCTCATCTGGGTTCTCTTTAGCAAAACATGTCTGCAATCTCACCTTCCAGCGAACTGGCACACAGACCATCCATTTCCTTCGTGTGACAGAAGCCCTGGAGACCCACCAAGTGCAGATCACAACTCCATGCTAGCCCTAGAGATATGCTCAGTACAAGTATCTGAGCTGGTGGCTGTGAATGTTATATCAAGTGATTGGGCCTCTTCATCAGTGAAGTGGAGTTGCTCTCTCTGTCTCTCCTCCTGGGGCTGTTGTGCCTGGACAGGCAGCAATTCTTCTTGTAAAAGCAGAAAATCAGAAAAGGGAAAAGGTGAGGTGGAGTAGAAGGCATGAATTCCGTGGTGACTGTCATTGCCAGGTCCGGGGCAGATGAAGGTGAGCTTGGAGTTGTAAAGGGGCATATGTTCTCAGCAATAAGGGATGGCGAACCTTTTGTCACCGTTAGCCCCATGATACAGGGAACTTTCTGCTCTGCTTCTTTCTACTTTGTGACCTGTAAGAAAGCAGAAGGATATCAATGGATAGTAATGCACTTTGGTTGGGTAATCCACCTTCCACAACTGAATAGCTAGAATCTGTTGAAGCACCAGGAGTTAGGTGCGAGGTTGGCATTACAGCAACAAGTGAAAGTGTGGTATCTAGGTGTTAGCCTAGAGTATTGAGGACTGTGGAGAGATGAAGTTTTGAATCGTTCATCAATGTGAGAGGCTGGTGGTGTGTTAGGCAGAAGATATCACATGTAGATGAATTGTTTGAACTTGACCACTAGCGTAAGGTCATTAGATTCCTTATGGCACAGCTGCCAGGTTCTGTACTCTAGACATTGGTATTGGCCTCCCTGGCCACCACCTCCTTACACATTCTGAGAGTGGCCATTGACGGCCTCCTGATCCTATGTTTGTGATGATGTCTTTCAGCCTGTTCATCTCCACCACTAAGGCCTACAGCACAGATTTATTGACGCTGGAGTCCACTCACCACCCTCATGTTCTATTTTCCTAGTTCACTACTGCAGGGGTATTTCTAGCAGCAGTAATTCGGTGCATTTTCCTTTTATGAGTGACAGACTGCCTTTAGGAACAGAAGGATGGCTATGCCATTTGAAACCAGCCGCTCAGATCCCTGATAAGCAGCAAGGCTGAGAGTAGCATTGAACCAGCTTGGCTCAAAGCCAAATCAGTAAGTGAGGGGACTACACAAAATTTCGGTGTTGCCTATCTCTGCCTCAATGGATACGGGCAGATCAGGAAACATGATGCACATGCCAGAAAACTAAACAAACCAAATTCTAGTGCCTAATATAGCTTTGCTTTACTTTCCCCCTCACACCTTAAATACATGCCCCTCTAGTATTAGACATTTCAACTCTGGGAAAAAGATTCTGACTATCAACCCTATCTATGCATCTCATCATTTTATAGACTTCTATCAAGTCTCCATTCAACCTCTGCTACTCCAGAGAAAACAACTCAAGTTTTTCTAGCCTCTCCTTATAGCTCATGCCCTCTAATCTGGGCAGCATCCTGGTAAACCTCTTCTGCACCCTCTCCAAAGCCTCCACATCCTTCCTGTAATGTGGCAACCAGAATGGACACAATACTCTAAGTGTAGCCTAACCAAGATCTTATAAAGCTGCAACATGACATCCTGACTCTTTTACTCAATTCCCTAACTAATAAATGCCATGCCTTCTTTACAACACTATCTACTTGTGTGGCCACTTGCTATGGACTTGAACCCCAAGATCACTCTGTACATCAATGCTGTTCAGGGCCCTGCCATTATCTGTACACATTTTCTTAACATTTGTTCTCCCAAAGTGCACACCTCATACTTGCCCAGATTAAACTCCATCTGCCATTTCTTTGCCCATATCTGCAACTGATCTATATCCTGCTGTATCCTCTGACAACCTTCTACACTATCCACAACTCCACCCATCTGCATTTTCATCCAAGTCATTTGTATATATCACAAACAGCAGAGGTCCCAGTATGGATCCCTACGGACACCACTTAGTCACAGACCTCCAGCCAGAAAAACACTCTTCCACCACTACCCTCTACTTTCTATGGGCAAGCCAATCCTGAATCCACATGGCCAAGTCAGGATGGATCCCCTGCATCTTAATCTTCTGGATGAGCCTACCATCAGGTACTTTGTCAAAAGTCTTACTAAAATCCATGCAGACAATATCCACTGCTCTACCCCCATCGATCACCTTTGGCACTTCCTCGAAAAATTCAATCAAGTTAGTAAGACATGACCTGCTGCACACAAAGCTTTGCTGACTGACCCTAATTAGGCCATGCTTTTCCAAATGCGCATAAATCCTATCCCTAAAAAATCCTCTCCAACAGTTTCCCAACTACTGATGTGAGACTCGCTGATCTATAGTTTCCTGGATTAACCCTATTTCCTTTCTTGAACAGAGGAACAACATAAACTACTCTCCAATCCTCTGGGACCTCTCCAGTGGCTAACAAGGACACAAAGATCTTGGTCAAGGCCCCAGCAATTATCCTCCGCTGCCTCTCTCAATAACCTGGGGTAAATACCATTGGGCCCTGGGGACTTATCCACCTTAATGCCCTTCAAGAGACCCAACACCACTTCTTTTTTGATCTCAAAATGCCCTGGTATATTAGCATGCTCCAAACAAATCTCACTATCCTCCATGTCCTTCTCCTGGGTGAATACCAATGCAAAGTACTGATTTAGGATTACACTCACCTCCTGTCACAGATGTTTCAAAGTACTTTACAGTTAAAGTACTTTTCAAATGTAGTTACTGTAGTAAGGTAGGAAATGCATCAGCTAATCTATGCACAGCAAATTCTGATAATGAGCAATCTGCTTTTGTGATGTTGATTCATGGGTAAAATACTGATCAGAGTTTTGGAGGTAACATCCTTGATCCTCTTAAAAATACTGCCATTAGATCTTTTACATCCACTGTAGAAGACAGGTAGGATCATAGTTTAATGTCTTATCCAAATGATGGCAACTCCGACAGTGCAAAATTCCCTCAGCATTACACAGAAGTATCAGCCTGGATTTTTGGGGCTCAGGTCTTGGTGTGGGACTTAACCCCACAAATTGCTGACTCAGTGTTAAGGGTCCTACCAATAGGCCATGGCAGATGTTGACATCCTGTGATTCTTCTGTACTATTCTGATTCCAGTAACCTGTTATCAGGACTGACATATATTCGTTCTCTCAAAGGCATGGGGCCTTATAGGGCCCTGAATGATGTTGGATATGCCAAGAAATCTGAGAAGTTGAGTGAAGCCCAACTCAATCTTAGGTGCAACCGCTAGCATTTTCTAACAGAGTTCCAGGCATTGAGATGATTTTCTCACTAGGAAGTGCTAGACTGCCTATCAACTGGGATTATTGCTCGTTATGACCCTCATTAATCTCACCTCATAAATATGTAGCTCCCTATCACACCAATGGGATGGATAGAAATTAGATGCTATGAATTCCATTCATGAAAGTCAGAGTGGATACCTGGTGACTTCAGCATATTGCTTGCTCCTCTGGACCTCTATCTTGAACACCTGGCACTGATATCTTGGCCACCTGTACCTCACATCCTTGGACAATGGCATCTGACATGTGCCAGCCTCATTGGAACCATCATGGCACATCTTTGATCCACGTAGAGTATGCTTCTGGATGATAATGCTGCCCTTCATGCACTGACAATGTCTTGGTGAAAAAGTGTAGGATTGGTGACTGCAGATGGTGGTGTTCCCGTGTATCTGCTGTCCTTATCCTTTGAGATAGACGTGATCATGGGTTTGGAAGGTGTTGTTTAAGGATCTTTGGTGAATTTCTGCAGGGCATCTCATGGATGATACACACTGCTGCTACTGAGTGGTGGAGGGAGTGCATGTTTGTGGATGTAGTGCCAATCAACCAGGCTGCTTTGTCCTGGTGTCAAGATGTTTCTGTAGTTGGACCTACACTCATCCAAGTAATTAACTCAGTTAGCTGAATGACTATCTTAATAGGAATTCAAAGCCTTCCCCACAACTTTTTAATTTTCATGGGATCTGGGCATCGCTAATGTGTATGAACAGGGTGGGGAGATGTCATTATTTGTTCATCTGTTCTACCCTGTGGGAGATGAACAAATCATGTATACCAGTTATATTGCAGATCAAAAATATCTATTCTTGTACATGAAAAATGTTTTTCAGTTTTTTGACAGCAATGGGATATTTATGTCCTGACTTGTTAGTATATCTTACTGTGGAGTAGACAGAGGTGAATCCCTATGAGGAGTGAATGAATCAGGATTAATTTAAGAAGGTTGGAAATCTGAGCATGATTGTGGTAAATCTTCTTTTGTTAACAGGATCCATTGAATAGGACAAATGCCATCGGTACAAATGCACAAAGGCAAAAAAGACATCTGACAAATGATTGGTGTTATTCCACGTCAAGCATGCTTCCTTCATTGCATCCCAAGGATATTACCGTCTTCTTCAACATTAAAGCCTCAACAAGACAACTTCCTCCTTCAGTTCTGTCAAACAACTGTGGATAACCGGCTACTTTTCCATCAATCTGTCTAATTTAAGATTAAGACCAAAAATGCAATATCTTCGCATTCTGTTAGACCCTGAGCTCTGCTTTCTCCCTTACACCTGACCACTTTCTTTCACTTCTGTAACACTGCCTAAATCTCCTTCATTCCTGTTGGAATCTTAATCTGATACATCAATTATTCCTGAACCACCTTTTATCATTGAGCTACAATTTATTACCAGAGATGTTGCTCACAGTAGCCTACATCCTCATTTCCCCCGTCTTTGTTAAGATCCACTGGAGTATTTTGTCGTGGGAGTCAATTTAATCACATTTCTCCTCTGTGATTATGTCCCTCCTTAATTCCAGTTACTTCCTCTGTGTATGTCCCTCTATCACTGGACTATTTCTCATTGCCAACCTCCTCTGCTTGAACACATTCTTCAGCCATCGTGTCCATGTCCCCTGCAACTCTGTCCTTCAGCATCTCCACTGTCACCTCTCTGTCATCAAGACAGAGTTATTCATGCAGTTCTTTGATCATGGATTTGCAGGCCTTATCCCTCCCACAGGTTGTCCAGATAATGTCATCTATAAGGTGGACTGAAGCTCTAAGCAAAGGGCATTTTAAAAATGATTTATGCATATTTCAATAGTTAACCAGATGACCTAGTTATATTGCCCAAGCTATTACTTCACTTGAGAGATTTTTTTTTAGTAGAGTTGAAGGAGTTGAACCACTGTCATAGAATCCATGGTTTCATGCTTCCTGAACAAAACACACATTAAGATGTTTAATGTAAATGCAGCAAATAGTAGAATCTTGTTATTCTATTGATCAATAACAGTCAATTAATGGTGCATTTAAGGACCCATTGCCATTCCAAAAAACCCAAACAGCCAGGCAACCAATCCTTTCTCTTTTCATGGCTTATTTGATCAATAAACTTCAATGTAAACAGACATTCCACTGCACGACACTTACAATATTACAAAGTACAGTTCAAAAAAAGTATCATTATTAGCTTACCAAAGCAATTGATGCAGGCAAGAGTTCAATAAAATGCTAGGCAAGATTCAGATAGTGCTCCAGCTACACATTCAGTTACAACCAAAGCCCTTCATTATGTCAACTCCTAGTATTCAATAAATCAATGATGTTGGAATACGCAATTATTTCAAGTTAGTTCAGTAAATAACACGTTTTGATTATTTGCAACACACACTGATAGAAGTATACTTGAGCCAAAATCTATATTGACCACTGGGGCTGTTGTGTGCATTTGTGTGAAGGAAAGGTTCAGGACTGATGGATGAATATAACACATAGCAATAATTTTGTGACATAATCAGTCATTGTATCACTGGATGTTTGACAAAAGAAGCCAGTTGGCCCATACAGTAAGAGTTTACTTATCACTGGTGTCATGCCAGAGGCAGTATAGTGGACACCCGGGCCTGATAACAAACCAGTGATCGAATGAGGGGCTTGTGATAGTTTGTATTCAGATGTCATTATAAGACAACACATAGTATTTAATTCACATTGTAGCTTAATTGATAAGCATTTTGTCACTTGTTTGAAGAATATATTTGCCTGTAATAAATGTTATTTTTTGAATTTATTGAAAAGCTTGCTGAAAGTCTCTTTTGTTCTAGTTGCCAGTAATAAAGAGAAAGAAATTGACCATTTTGGTGACTAAATAAAATATATACCATTTTGGTCCATCTTGCTGAGTAATTAAGCTTGATTTCTAGTGTTCTCCTCACACAACACACCACTACCTTCCCACCCCCTCAACTAGTATCTTGTCCACCACTATTCCCCCTGTTCCTTTAATCTCCCATGCCCTCTCCTAAACCTGTTTCCCTTTGTGCCCTCAATTTCACCTCTAGTGCCTCTCTTCCATACCAAAGAACAAAGAAAATTACAGCACAGGAACAGGCCCTTCAGCCCTCCAAGCCTGCACCGACATGCTAAAACCCCCTACCCTTCCGTGGATCAGATCCCTCTATTCCCATCCTATTCATGTATTTGTCAAGACGCCCCTTCAAAGTCACTATAGTATCTGCTTCCACTATCTCCCCTGGCAGCGAGTTCCAGACACCCACCACCCTCTGTGTAAAAAGCTTGCCTCATACATCACCTTGAAACATTGCCCCTCGCAGCTTAAACCTATGCCCCCTAGTAACTGACTCTTCCACCCTGGGAAAAAGCTTCTGACTGTCCAGTCTGTCCACGCCCTTCAAAATCTTGTAGACCTCTATCAGGTCACCCCTCAACCTCCATCGTTCCAGTGAGAACAACCCAAGTTTCTCCAACCTCTCCTCATAGCTAATGCCCACCATACCAGGGAACATCCTGGTAAGTATTTTCTGTACCCTCTCCAAAGCCACCACATCCTTCTAATAATGTGGCAACCAGAACTGAACACAATATTTCAAATGTCACCTAACTAAGGTTCTATAAAGCTGCAACATTCCCTGCCAATTTTTAAACTCAATGCCCTGGCCGATGAAGGCAAGCATACCGTATGCTTTGTTGACTACCTTTTCCACCTGCGTTGCCACTTTCAGTGACCCATGTACCTGTACACCCAGATCCCTCTGCCTATCAGTACTCCTAACAGGTCTGCCATTTACCGTATATTTTCCATCTGAATTAGACCTTCCAAAATGCATTACAACACATTTTTCCAAATTAAACTCTATCTGCCATCTCTCTGCCCAAGTCACCAACCGATCTATATCCAGCTGTATCCTCTGACGGTCCTCATCGCTATCCACAATTCAACCAACCTTTGTGTCATACTCAAACTTACTAATTAAACCAGTTACATTTTCCTCCAAATCATTTATTTATATTACTTAAAGCAAAGGTCCCAACACTGATCCGCGAGGAATACCACTAGTCACAGCCCTCCGTTAGAAACGCAACCCTCTGTCTTCTATTACCGAGCCAGTTTTTTTATCCATCTTGCAAGCTCACCTCTGACCCCGTGCGACTTTATCTTCTGTATCAGCCTGCCATGAGGGACCTTGTCAAACACCTTACTGAGGTCCATGTAGACAACATCCACTGCCTTACCCTCATTAATCATCTTTGTGTTTTTTGAGGAAGTGACGATCAAGTAGTGAGACACGACCTCCCCCTCACAAAACCATGCTGCCTCTTGCTAATATGACCACTTATTTCCAAGTGGGAATAAATCCTGTTTCAAAGAATCCTCTCCAATAATTTCCCTACCACTGACATAAGGCTCACTGGCCTGTAATTAGCTGGATTATCCTTGCCAACCTTCTTAAACAAAGGAACAACTTTGGCTATTCTCCAATCCTCTGGCCAGATGGATACAAAGATTTCTCTTAAGGCCTCAGCAATTTCCTCACTTGCATCTCAGTATTCTGGGGTATATCCCCTCAGGCCCTGGGGACTTGTCTACCTTAATAATTTTCAAGACCCCAAATACCTCCTCCCTTTTGATCTCAACAGGACCCAAACTATCTACACAGCCTTCCCCAGACTCATCATCCACCAAGTACTTTTCTGCAGTGACGCAAAGTACTCATTTAATACTTTGCCCATTTCCTCTGGCTCCACACATAAATTCCCTTCCCTGTCCTTGATTGGGCCAACCCTCTACCTGGCTACCCTCTTGCTCTTTATATATGGATAAAAAGCCTCCAGAATTTTCCTTGATCTCCCTCATGGCCAATGACTTTTCATGACCCCTTTTAGCCCTCCTGACTTCTTGCTTAAGTTTCTTTTGACTTTCCTTGTATTCTACCCTTGCTTCGTGTGTTCCCAGCATCCTAGCCTTCATAAATGCTTCCTTTTTCTTTTTGATTAGGCTCACAATATCTCTCATTATCCAAGGTTCCCGAAACTTGCCATACTTATCCTTCATTCCTTACAGGAACGTGCCGGTCCTGAGTTCCCAGCAACTTACACTTGAAAGCCTCCCACATACCAGATGTTGATTTGTCCTCAAGCATCTACCTCCAATCTACATTCTTCAATTCCTGCCTAATATTGTTGAAATTAGCCTTCCCCCAATTTAGCACCTTCACCTGACAATTACACTTATCTTTATCCATCAGTACCTTAAAGCTTACTGCATTGTGATCACTGTTCCCAAGCTGCTCCCCTACGTCGACCACCTGGCCAGGTTCATTCCTCAATACTAGGTCCAGCATGGCCCCTTTCCCAGTTGGACTATTTACATACTGTTTGTTTCAAGAAGCCCTCCTGGATGTTCCTCACAAACTCTGCCCCATCTGTGCCCCAAGCACCAAGTGAGTCTCTGTCAAAATATATGGCAAGTTAAAATTACCCGCGACAACAACCCTGTTACTTTTACATCTTGCTAAAATCTGCCTACATATCTGTTCTTCTATCTCCCACTGGCTGTTGGGAAGCCTATAGTAAACCCCAAACATTGTGATTGCACCCTTCCTGATCCTGAGCTGTACGCATACTGCCTCACTGTATGAGCCATCCAAGGTGTCCTCCCGCAGTACAGCTGTGATATTCTCCTTAACAAATAGTGCAACTCCTCACCCCTTTTATCTATCTATCCCACCTGAAGCATCTGTATCCTGGAATATTAAGTCGCCAATTCTGTCCCTCCCTTAACCAAGTAAAAACTGAAAGAACTGCAGCTGCTGTAAATCAGGAACAAAAACAAAGTTGCTGGAAAAGCTCAGCAGGTCTGGCAGTATCTGTGAAGGAAAAAACAGAGTTAACGTTTCAGGTCCAGTGACCCTTCCTCAGAACTGGTGGTGGCTGGAAAAACATCAGCTTATAAACTCCAGACCCGAAACGTCAGCTTTCCTGCTCCTCTGATGCTGCTTGGCCTGCTGTGTTCATCCAGCTCTACACCTTGTTATCTCAGATTCTCCAGCATCTGCAGTTCCTACTATCTCTGAATCAGCTTATAAACTTGACGTTTTCCCAGCCACCAACAGTTCTGAGGAAGGGTCACCGGACCCGAAACATGAACTCTGTTTTTTCCTTCACAGATGCTGCCAGACCTGCTGAGCTTTTCCAGCAACTTTGTTTTTGTCCCTCCCTTAACCAAGTCTCTGTCATAGCAACAACATCATAGTTCCAAGTACCAATCCAAGTTCTAAATTTATCTGCCATACCTGTTACACTTCTCACATTGAAACAGAGGCACTACAGCCCACCAGACCCACTTTGATCAGCATCCACACCCTGCCAGCTCTACCTCTTACTGGCCCTATTCTCTAGTTCCCTTTCAGTCAATTCACCTTTGCTTTGCTTCCCACCCACCCCTGCCAAGCTAGTTTAAATCCTCCTGTGACACCAGCAAACCTCCCAGCCAGAATTTTCGTGCCCTTCCAGTTTTTTTTTATTGCAACCCGTCCTTCTTGTACAGGTCCCACCAGCCCCGGAAGAGATCCCAATGGTCCAGATATCTGAAACCCTCCTTCCTACACCATCTGTTTAGCCAAGTGTTGAGCTGTACTATCTTCCTATTTCTAGCCTCACTGGCACCTGACACAGGGAGTAATCCGGAGATTACAACCTTGGAGGTCCTGCTTTTTAACTTTCTACCTAACTCCCTGAACTGCTGCTGCAGGATCTCGTCACACATCCTACCCATGTCGTCAGTACCAATATGTACCACGACCTCTGGCTGTTCACCCTCTTCCTTCAGAATGCTTTCTGTCTGTTCAGAGACATCCTGGACCCTGGCACCAGAGAGGCAACATACCATCCTGGAGTCTCTTTTACAGAAGTGCCTATCTGTATCCCTAACTATAGAGTCCCCTATAACTACTGCTCTAGTGCTCTTTGTCCTTCCCTTCTTAAGAACAGAGCCGGCTGTGGTGCCACCAGTCTGGCTGCTACTGCTGTTATCCCCTGATAGGTCATTCCTCTCCAACAGTATCCAAAATGGTATTCTTGTTAGAGAGGGGGATGACCACAGGGGATTCCTGCACTGGCTGTCTGCCCCTTCTATTGGTCACCCATCTATCTGCCTGCATCTTGGGTGTTACCACATCTCTAAAACTACTGTCTATGACGCCTTCCGCCATTCTCATGCTCCTACGTGCATCCAATTGCTGCTCCAACCTATCCACGCGGTCTGTGAGGAGCTGCAATTGGGTGCACTTCCTGCAGATGGCTCTCTCACATCTCACAAGTGCAGCACTTAACCCCACTGACTGACATTTCTATGGCCAATTAAGCAGTTTAAGAAAAATTTATTTATGTCTCTTCCCACTTATACTGTATTTTCCTCCCATCAGCTCTCTCACTCACCCACTCTCCTATGACCTGTCTTCCCCCCTCACCCCCTCCATTTATCCCCTTTCCCCAGTGCCCTTTCATGCCCACCCCTATGCATCTACTTCCATTGGTGGTACCTCTGCTCTCACGATACCCTCTGTGGCATGCTCTCAGATCGCCCTGAACCCTCTTCTCACCTTATGCCCTATCTTTCCCCACCACTGTACCCCCCAATTCCTGATACATCTTCTCTTCCTGATAGCCTACCATGCTACTGCTCCACTTCCCTGGTCCCTTTTCTCTGCGCCTCAGCGTGCACTCTTCCCACCCCTGGGTGTCTGCCCTTGTCCTCTACTAGGGCAGTCTTTACCCTCTCGGTGCCCTCACAGCCCAGTGCACCCAGGCCAGCCCCTCCTCTTCACCCACGTGACCCCGCATTTACCCACATGACCCTTACATTGCCCGTCCGCCGCCTGGCCCCATCCCCCCAACCGGAAGTTGCCGTGCGTGGTAACGTCAGACAGGCCGCCATGATCCCGCTGCGGCGTGGCCTGTTCCTCGGGACGGCCGGAGATGCGGCGACAGTCGATCCGGACTCTGGTATCTCCCATGTGCTGACCGTGGACTCCAAGGAGCCGCCGCCTCTCGGCGACCGGCAGACGATGTTTGTGCGGGCGCTGGACGATGCCGCCTCTGACCTGCTGAGCTTTCTGGACGATTGTGTGCGGTTTGTGCAGGAGGCGCTGTCTGCAGCAGGAGCTGCTGTCCTGGTTCATTGGTACATGCACTGCTTCCCATCGACACCAAACACACTGCCCCTGTATCTCTGTCAGCCACCCTTTACACTCCCCATTATCAGCTAGTACCGACAGGTTTATACCCGGAAACAAACTCTTAGTTAAAGCAACTAACATGCCAATAAAGGGCAATGTGCCGAAGCAGAAAACTTCTAAAAATTTATATTGAATATTAAAAACAACACAGCTCCAGCAACTTTCTGAAGAAGATTCCCGACCCTAAACGTCAGCTTTCCTGCTCCTCTGTTGCTGCCTGGCCTGCTGTGTTCATCCAGCTCCACACTGTGTTATCTCTGACTCCAGCATCTGCAGTTCTTGCTATCTCCAGCAACTTCTGTTTTTGTTTTAGAAATAGCACATTTGTTTTCCAGTGAAACATGATCTAACACAGCATGAACTACTTTAGGTTCCACAAACGTATAAACGCAGCGCAAATGTTGGGAAGGAAATTAGCTTATACCATTGAAATAAAACAAAGAACTGTGGATGCTGTAGATCTGAAACCAACAAATTTAGTAGTCTGTGGAGAAACAGCCATGTCTGGCAGCATCTGTGGAGAGAAAGCAGTATACGTTTTGAATCCGGTGAAAGGTCACTGTTTCCTCTCCATAGATGCTGCCAAACGTGCTGAGTTTCTCCAAAAAATTGTTTTTGATGTTTATCCTTCGTGTTTGATCCTCCATTGAATTTCATGTATCAGCTGTATCTCAGACATGAGCCAGAGCTGTGCTTGCTATCATTGTTGCTAGTATGCACACTGTTCCCCATATCTCACAGAGTTAACTCCATGGTGTGACTTTGAACTGCAATTAGTAACTGCATTTAACTTTTTTTTAGAATTCTGCATTTAATTTTGAAATTGGTCTTTGAGGGCTGTTGTGTGAAATCTTCAAACAGTTAGGCTTGTGTCCATGAAGAAGAGCCAAACTGGACTTGAAACGTTAACTCTGTTTCTGCCTCCGTAGGTGCTGTCTGTGTCTGTTTATGTCTTAGGGAGGATATTACTTGCAAGTTAAAACTCTGGTTAGACCACAGTTGGAATATATTGTGTTCAGTTCTGGTCACCTCATTATAGGATAGATGTGGAAGCTTTAGAGAGGGTGCAGAGGAGATTTACCAGGATGCTGCCTGGACTGGAGGGCAGATCTTATGAGAAAAGGTTGAGGGAGCTAGGGTCTTTTTCATTGAAGCGAAGAAGGATGAGAGGTGACTTGATAGAGGTGTGCAAGCTGATGAGAGGCATAGATAGTGAATAGTCAGAGACTTTTTCCCAGGGCGGAATTGACTATTACGACGGGACATAATTTTAAGGTGATTGGAGGAAGGTATCGGGGAGATGTCAGAGGTAGGTTCTTTACACAGAGAATGGTGGGCGTGTGGAATGCACTGCTGGCAGTGGTAGTGGAGTCAGATATTTTAGAGACTTTTAAGCGACTCTTGGATAGGCACATGGAGGATAGTAAAATGTAGGGTATGCAGGGTAGATTGATCTTAGTAGGATAATAGGTTGGCACAACATCGTGGGCCGAAGGGCCTGTACTATGCTGTACTGTTCTATGTAGTATGTTCTATGTTCTATGTACAGGAGTACCTGTTCAGTTCTGAGGAAGAGTCACTGGACCCAAAATGTTAACTCTTTTTTTCTTCACAGATGCTGCCAGACCTGCTGAGCTTTTCCAGCAACTTTGTTTTTGTTCCTGTTTCCAAGGGTTGGGCCAAGGACTCCCATTGAATTCACCCACCCTTATGTGCAAAGTACTGCTATGCTTTTCCATTGCATCTGCAGGATGGCTGACCAGAAAACTTCCCACTCTTACTCACAGCTAAACAAAAAACTGAAAGAACTGTGGATTCTAGAAATCAGAAACAAAAACAGAAATTGCTGGACAAACTCAACAGCTATGGCAGCATCTGTAGAGAGAAATCAGAGTTAATGTTTTGGTCCAGTAACCCTTCTTCAGAACCTCAGTATTTACAGCTATCAGGATTTACGGATGGATAGTAATCCTATTGGCTCACATTATGAATGCACCTTCTGTGGTCAACAAGCATTGCCAAACAAAGAGACCAGGTGCACAATTCCTTGAAAGTGGAGCTGCCGGTAGACAGGGTGGTAAGTTTGGCATTACATTCATTGGTCAGAACATTGGGTGTAGGGGTTGGGACATCATAGGGTCATACCGCACAGAAGCAGACCCTTTGGTCCTACCAGTCCATGCTGACCATAATCCCAAACTAACCTGGTCTCACCTGCCTGCTCCTGGCCCATATCCCTCCAAACCTTTCCTATTCATCTACTTATCCAAATGTCTTTTAAACATTGTAGTTGTACCCACATCCACTACTTCCTCTAGAAGTACATTCCACTCACGAACCAAACCTCTGTGTAAAAAAATTTGCTGCTCGTGTCTTTTTTAAATCTCTCCTGTCACCTTAAAAATGTGTCCCCAATCTTGAAGTCCCCCATCTTAGGGAAAAGACAACTACCTTTAACTCTATCTATACCTGTAACTATTTCATAAACTTCTATAAGATCACTTCTCAACATCCTATGCTCCAGTGAAAATAGTCTCAGCCTATCCAACCTTTCTTTATAACTCAAACCTTCCTTACCTGGCAACATCCTAGTAAATCTCTTCTGAATGCTCTCCAGCTTAATAATATCCTCCCTATAACTGGGTGACTAGAACTGGACACAGTATTCCAGAAGAGGCCTCACCAATATCGTGTACAACCTCAACATGACTTCCCAAATCCTATACTCAAAGGACTGAGCAATGAAGGCAAGCGTGTCAAATGCCTTTTTAACCATCCTGTTTATATGTGACACAAAATTCAAAGAACTGCTAGGACCCTCTGTCTTACAACAGTATCCAAGGCTCTACCCTTGTTTGTTGTACCAAATTGCAATACCTCACAATTATCCAGATTGAACGCCATCTGCTATTCATCAGCCGATTGACATATTTCATCAAGATCCCTTTGTAATCTTAGAAAACCTTCACTGTCTGCTATGCCACCAATTTTGGTGACGTCCGCAAACTTACTGACCATGCCTTCTATATACTCATCTAAATGATTCATATAAATGGCAAACAAAAGAGGACCCAGAACCAATCCCTGTGGAACATCGCTGGTGACAGGCCTCCACCACTGAAAAGCAACCCTCCACCACCACTCTCTGTCCTACTGTTAAGCCAACTATGTATCCAAATGGCAAGCTCACCCTGAATCCTATGTGATCTAACTTTACTAATTAGTCTACCATGCGGAAGTAGTTACAGAGTTCGTGGATGTAGTGGTCGTGATTTTCAAGGAATCCTTAGATTCTGGAAGAGTCCCAAAGAATTAGGAAACTGCCAATGTAACACCTTTTTTTAAAAAGAGGAGACAAAAAATAGGTAACCATAGGCCAGTTAGCTTCATGTCTGTTATTTGGGAAAATGTCAGAATCTATTATAAAGGATGTAATAGCAGAGCATTTAGAAATGCATAATTTAATCAAGCAGAATCAACATGGCTTCATGAAGGGAAATTCATGCCTGACAAATTTACTGGAATTCTTTGAGGAGGAAATGAGTAGGTTGGATAAAGGGGAAGCAGTGTATGTAATATATTTGGATTTTCGGAAGGCATTTGATAAGGCACCACACATTAGGCTACTTAAAATAAGAGCTCATGCTGTTGGAGGTAGTGTACTGGCCTGGACATGAATTGGCCAATTAATAGAAGACAGAGTTGAGATGAGGGAGGCATTTTCAGGCTAGTGAAGTACCACAGGAGTCAGTGCAGGGGCCACTTTTTTTTTAACAATATATTATTAATACTTGGATGAGGAAAGTGAATGTACTATAGCCAAGTTTGCAGGTGACAAAATTCTGTTGGCTGCCTAACATATGGCAAAATGCTGCAGATGCTGGAAACCTGAAATAAAATCAAAAAGGTGTTGGAATTACTATATAGATCTGGAAAAATATCTGTGAAGAAGGGAAATTTCAGGATAGTCATTTCTCATCAGTTCCTAATTTTATCCAAAAATGTTGCATGTTCTGCTGAGTATTTCTAACATTTCCTGTTTATGATGGGGTATTCAGGGTTTTACTTCTGTTTTAATCAAATGCACCAAATTAAGAGTAGACTCAAATTGCTGCACATTTTGTAGTCTTTGTTGGGAACAAATGTCCTTTGTATAAGTCATCTATCATATTTCATTAATTGTAATTTTTTTTCTCTAATGTCAGTCATGCAGGAGTCAGTCGAAGTGCAACTATAGTGACTGCTTACATGATGAAAATTGATGGCCTGACCTTTGAGGAGGCATATAGTAAACTCCAGGACATTAAACCTGATGTCAAGTAATTTGCTTTCTTTTTAGTTATCTAATTCTTTCACCGTTGAACAAGTTTTAATAGGATAACTTTTAAAATGTTTCTATTATCTATATTGTAGGATAAATGATGAGTTTGTGAAGCAGCTGAAGTTGTATGAAAAGATGGGTTGTAATGTGGATTTAACAAGTGCTGATTACAAACAATATCGACTGCAGAAAGTCATCAACAAGTACCCTGGTAATCGACTTCTTCTGTTGCTTCCATTCAGTTCTGCTGGCAACAGCAAGAAAAGTCTATTCACATCATTCCATAATTTTGATTGGCCACATTGACTGTGTTAAATCTCTCTTATCCATGTCTTAAGCATGTCTTGCTGTAGTTGTGAGTGAGGAATTATTCTTTTATACTTTTCTAATGTTTCAATTGAGAGTATTTACTCACTAAGTGGGAGCAGTCTGCAGCCAGTAGTGCTTAACCATGATGACTGCTATTTCATTTACACTTCGTCACTTTTTTGTTATATGCAAACTTTTTCACCATAAGTCGACATCTATAATGTTAATTCTCTTGATCGAGAGGTAATGTTTTTAAAGACTCATTCATGGTTATAAATACTTGGTCCCTTCCTTATCTGAAATTATGAATGCCTTCCTTTTTTAAAAAATAATCCAAATGCATTCCTAAAATGTAATTTCTCTTGTGGCTTACCTATCCTTTTCTTTCTATTTTTTCTCTTTCTGTCCAATTCATTGTACCGTCAATAACATTTTAAGATATGGAACGAAATGAAAGTAGTCATTTCAGACTCTTCAAGGTAGAACTGTACTAGAATCTTACTACTATAATCTTTTCATTGCCAAATTGTTCCTAAAATCTTGAGTGAACGTAGGCTCCAACTTTTAAATATGTGTTATACAGACAGTATAATATATGCTAATATAAGGGTACTGTGCATTCCTTGCTTTAAGAAGTTCTATTTTTGAATTCTGTGCTATCCCGGTCGTAAAGGCCATGGTTTTATAAACTAACTTATTACTTATTAATATCTTAATTATAATTTGCATGAATGTCCTTTTTGTATTCAGAGCTACGGAATTTACCTCAGGAGTTGTTTGCATTGGATCCTGTGAGCCTAGAGAAAACAAATGAAGTCCTCTATAGGTGCAGAAAGTGTAGGTGAGCAGAACTATAATAGATGATATGATGCTCAATTTACTCTTTGAGTGAAACTGAACACCTAACTTATGCCTGATTTGAGAAGTTCACTTAACATAATTCTAAAAACAAAATTGTTGATGTACAACACTGTAAAGAATTTAAGTGTTTGTTCTGACGGGGTTTTATTGTACGTATTTACAAAGTCCATTTTATTTCGTATGAGTCCAACTTTACCTTATAAAACCATAAGACAGCAGCTTAATTCATGGAATGTGGATATGCTGATTGGACCATTATTTCATGCCCATCCTTAGTTGCTCTTGAGAAGTGGTAGTGAGCTGTCTTCTTATTTTTATGCCTAGTCCCATTCAGCTTCTGGTCAATAGTAACCCCTAAGACCCCTGAGAAAGCGGGGGATTCAGTAATGGGAATACTATTGACTGTCAAGAGGTGATAGTGAGATTTTCTGTTTTTGGTAATGGTCAATGACTGGTACTTGTGTGGTGTGTAGTATCAGTATTGGATACTGGCCAGTTCTTGCTGCATTTGGATATGGATTGCTTCTGTATATGAGGAGTTGTGAATGGTATTGAATATTGTGCAGTCATTGGTGAACACCCCACTTCTGATGGAGGGAAGGTCATTGATGAAGCAGCTGATGATGGTTGGGGTCTAGACACTGCCCTAAAGAACACCTGCAGTGTTGCTTTGGAGCAGAGATGACTAACCTCCAACAACCATAACCACCTTGTTGTGTGCTAAGTACAGCTCCACTCGGCAGAGAGTTTTGTCCCTGACTCCAGTTGATCCTTGTTTAGTTAGGGTTTCTTGATGTCACAGTATTGTCAAATATGGTCTTGATGTCAAGGGTGGCCACTTTTGCTTTCTTTCTGGAATTCAGCTCTTTTGTCCATGTTTGAACTAAGGCTGTAATGAGGTTAGGAGCTGATTGGCAGAACCCAAACTGGGCGAGGTACCTTTGATTACTTTACTGATGATTGAGAGTAGATGATACAGGAGTATTTGGTCAGTTGGATTTATCCTGGGCAAGTTTCAGGTTTGATAGCATCGTAGGATAGATGCCATTATTGTAGCTGTACTGGAATAGCTAGACCAGTGGCACGGCAAATTCTGGAGCACACGTCCTCGGTACTGTTCCCGGAATATTGTCAGGACCCGTAGCCCTTGCAGCACCCAGTGCTGCCTGAGCTGTTTCTCAAATCATGTGGAGTGAATCACATCAGCTGCCAAGACTAGAATCTGTGATGCTGAGGACCTCTAGAGGACGCAGAGCGATCAGACACTTGACACTGCTAAACTGAAGATAGTTGCAAATGCTTCACTTGTATCATTTGCACAGATGTGCTGGGCTCCTCCACGATTTGAGAATAGGATATTTGTGGAGCCGCCTCTTCCTGTGAGTTGATTAATTGCCCACCATCATTCAAAACTGGATGTGCCTGGATTGCAGAGGTTAAATTTGATCCATTGGTTGTGGAATTGCATAGATCTAGGAATCACTTAATATTTATGTTGTTTGGCATGCCAGTATTTCTGTAGCTACACCAGGCTGTCTTTTAGGACTCAACCAATTCATTAGTAAAGGTGCTACTAAGCCACGCCTGGTGATAGATGTTGAAGACCCCACCCAGACCACATTCTTCACCCTTTCCGCCTTCAGTGCTTCCTCCAAATGTATTCAGCAAGCTAGTTACAAAGGAGGAAGACCATTTGGTCTATCTTAGTTCATCAATCCAGAAAATCCCTAGCTTCCTTCATTCCAGCATTTAATTATTTCTTAAAATGTTCTAAGCTTGTGTAGTCATATTCCAATGCAAAGAAGGTTACCTCAGAGTACAACGGGATCTTGATCGGATGGGGCAATGTGCTAAGGAGTGGCAGATGGAGTTTAATTTAGATAAATGTGAGGTGCTGCATTTTGGAAAGGCAGATCTATACACTTAGTGGTTAGGCCCTGGGGAGTGTTGCTGAACAAGGAGACTTTGAAGTGCAGGTGCATTGTTCCTTGAAAGTGGAGTTGCACGTAGATAAGATAGTGAAGAAGGCTTTTGGTATGTTTGCCTTTATTGGTCAGTGCATTGAGTATAGGAGTTGGGAGGTCATGTTACAACTGTACAGGACATTGGTTAGGACACTTTTGAAATAATGTGTGCAGTTCTGGCATCCCTGCTATAGGAAGGATGTTGTGAAACTTGCAAGGGTTCAGAAAAGATTTACAAGGATGTTGCCAGGGTTGGAGGATTTGAGCTATAGGGAGAGGCTGAATAGGCTTAGGCTATTTTCACTGGAGTGTCAGAGGCTGAGAGGTAACCTTGTAGAGGTCTAGCAAAGGTACAAACAGCACACATAGTTAATATTCCTGGTAGAAGAATTGACGGGGAAGGTGTCCCCGACAGAACATTTGACAGAAAAGGCACAGAATATTCTGGAAGATACATAACCTGGCTATAATTTTGAGAAACTAAATTCTACTTCTATTTTATATAGGTGGGACATGTATTTATTGAACAGCATACCATTAAAATCTTGTTTTATTCAGGAATAGTTAGTAATTAGAAGAGGTTTATTCGGTTTGTTAAAAGTTTAGTTAATTTGTTCACTGTTAGAGTTAGATAAACAAATTGTTACTTGTTGGTTCTAAAGTGTGTGTCAGGTGTTTATTTTATTTAACCACTTAAAGTTGCTGAACGGCTGGTTGCGCCATTCTTCACACTCCTTTTACAGATTGTAGGGCAAGGTGCTCCTCTTTGGGTGTTTTGGTTTAGTTCACGGTAGGGGTCAACCTCTGCTTTATAACACATTGTGAGCTTGTCTGGGATCTGGCTAGCTCGGGTTCGGGATTCAGGTGGGTTGGGACAGACTGGGTCTCAGATTTGGATATATCTGGACAGAGTTGGAGGGATCTGAACAGTTTGAACAGATTTAGGGTACGAAAGGTCCCAGCAGATTTAAACAGACTTGGGGTCTAGTATCCCAGATCTTTCAATAAAACATAGGTGAGAAATGGAAAATCTTTTTAATTTTGATTGCTTGTTGGTTAAATCAAAAGTGGAGAAATGTCTCATAACACTGCTAAAGAGGTTCTGGAGGTCAAAAATGCTTTCCAAATTTGCCAAGAAAGTATAAAAAGACAGAAACAGAAACACTTTAAGAATTAGCAGATAGGCCAGAATTGGGTTTAACTAGGAATAAGAAGAAAGCTGAAATTATAACGGAGTTAGCCAAGTATTTTGGTATACCAGGAAAACTGTCATGTGCAGTGGAGTTAGAAAAAAATTAAATTACAAATGACTGGAGTTAGAAGAGAAAGAAAGGGAAAGAAAAGCCATGTTAAAAGATAAACAAAGGGAACTGAAACAGTTTGAATTACAGTTATAAGCAGAGGAAAGACAAACAGCAAAAGGCAGAGAAGAAAAGGAGAAAGAGAGAGTTGCAAGTTTGGAAGTTGCAACTTAATTAGGATAGCCAACTTAAAATGAAGGTAGCAGATAGGCTTAGTGAGGAGGAGGGTGATGATGAACAGACCTGTTGTAGCCAAAGACCTGATAGGGATATATACAAGTATGTCAAAACAGTACCAAGATTCGACGAAAAAGATGTAGAAGCCTTTTTCATTTCTTTTGAGGAATTGGCTAAACAGATGAACTGGCCAGAGACTGTGCGGGTAAGGTTAATTCAGACCAATTTGGTAGGCGGGGTTAGTGAGGTGTTCACAGCGCTGTCCAAGGAGCTGTGAGGAGAACAGGCTTTTTTGAGTGCCTATGAATTGGTACCAGAAGCATATAGACGACGGTTCAGTAATGTAAGAAAGGAACCAGGCCAGACTTGTATCAAGCTTGAAAGAATTAAACAGAGCAACTTCGATAGATGGATGAGAGCATTCAAGATAGAAAAGATATATAAGGATCCTAGACATGTTATTCTGCTGGAGGAGTTTTAAAAACTCACTTCCAGAAATGGTAAGGACTCATGTTGAGGTACAGAAAGTTAAAACAATGAGAATAACTGGAGAGATGGCGGATGAATATGCAATAGTGTATAAGTCGAAATCTAGCTTCCAACAGCAATTTCATTCCATGACGGATAGAAATTATGAAGGAGGGAGTCCCTTCAATGAAAAACAAAAAGTAGATCACACTGGGAACAGTTTACCACATATGAAAAAAGAAACCCAAGAGCGTGAAAAGGAGGTGAAAGACCTCAGATGTTTTCACTGTGGTAAGGTGGGACACACAAAATCACAGTGCTGGTAGTTTAAGAGAGGCACTGGGAAAAAGGATGTGGTAAAAGAGGCTAAACCAATGGGATTAATTGAGGTAGTGAAGGAAATCCCAAGAGAAGCCAAGGAGCTGCAGGAGAGTGCACAGCCTAGTCACGGGCTGGATAGTCAAATGGCACCCGATCTTTTCAAAGAGTTCACCTGTGTGGATAAGGTTTACTCAGATAGAACAGGGGGAGTAGATAAAGGAGGTAAAATATTGAGAGATACGGGAACTGGTCAGTCTCTAATAGTAAGAGATGAAAAAATTTGCATTTCTTCTGAAATGTTACCTGAGAGAGTGGTAAAATGTGGAATAAATGGAGAGAGATTTAGTGTTCCCCTGTGTAAGATCAGGTTGGAAAATTCAGTCAAGACTGAGGAAGTGAGAGTGGGAGTGATTGAAAGAGTGCCTGTTGCAGGAATACGGTTTGTTCTTGGAAACGACTTAGCAGGATCAAAGGTGGTAGTGATGCCCCTTTGTAGTGGAGAAGCCGGAGGAAAACCAGAGAACTGAGGAGTTAATAGAAAAATACCCTGGAATTTTTCCGGACTGTGTGGTAACAAGATCCCACAGTCGTAAGCTTCAGCAAGAAGGAAAAACCAAAGAGAGAGACGAAGGAGTTGAGGTCCAGTTAGTTGACACCCTGTTTGATGAAATAATAAAGGAAAAACCTGAACAGGTAGAGGATCAGGCAGAGGTGTTTAGTTCTGAAAGATTAATGGAGTGACAACAAAAAGATGAGACAATAAAAGGTTTATATCATGAAGCTTACTTGGAAAAGGAATCAGAATGTGTTCCCAAACGTTATTATCCTAAGGATAGAATCCTAAAATGAAAATGGAGACTGCGGCAGGTTGGTGCAGGTGGAAGTGCACCAGATTGTTTTGCCAGTAGTATATAGACAGGAAGCATTGATGATAGCATATGAATTATCTGCAGGAGGTCATCGAGGAGTGAGGAAGACTCAGGCTAAGATACAAAAGCATTTCTGTTGGCCTGGATCACATAAAGATGAGGTTGAATTTTGCCGTACCTATCATACGTGTTAGATGGTAGGAAAGCGACAGGCAGCAATAAAACCAGCGCCTTTGATGCCAGTTCCTGCATTTGAAGAACCTTTCACGTGGGTTATAATTGACTGTGTAGGTCCCCTCCCTAAAACCAAAAGTGGGAACCAGTATTTGCTCACCATGATGGCTGTGTCTACCAGATTTCTGGAAGCCATTCTGTTACAGAATATCAAGGCAAAAAAGGCTGTGAAGGAGTTGCTTGCTTTCTTTACCCATTATAGACTACCCAGCGAGATTCAGTCAGACCAAAGGTCCAACTTCATTGCCAGATTATTTAAAGAGGTCATGGATAGTTTAGGCATCCAACACTTTAAATCGAGTGCATACCATCCCGAATCCCAGAGGGCATTGGAAAGGTGGCATCAGACCCTGAAGACCATGCTGAGGGCTTATTGCCAGGATTACCCGAATGATTGGGATAAAGGTATCCCATTTATATTATTTGCTTTTAGAGAGGCTCCAAATCAATTGACTCAGTTTACTCCATTTGAATTGATATTTGGACGCAAAGTAAGAAGGCCTTTAAAATTAATTAAGGAAAAGTTGATAGGTCCAAATCCAGAGATCTCTCAGTTGTATTATGTATCTGGTGAGAGAAAGATTAAACAAAGTAGGTGAATTATCCAAACAATATTTGAAGGTGGCACAGCACCTAATGAAGCAAGAAGCACATAAGAAATCTAAAATTCGTATGTTTGCCCATGGGGATAAAGTATTGGTGCTGTTACCAATGGTAGGGGATCCCTTCAGAGCAAGGTTTAGTGGTCCCTATCAGATTGAGAAGAAGTTGACTCGGGTGTATTATCTGATAAAGATGCCAGATAGGAAAAAAAATTATCAGGTATGTCATGTGAACATGCTGAAACCTTTACTATGACAGGGAAAGGAAACTGGAGAAACAGGTTTTAGTTACTGCCACTAAGTGTGATTTGGGTTTTGATGTGTGTAGGAGCATTTTTCCCAACCCGGGACAAAGACTTAGGAGGCAGACAGGATTCAGGCAAGTGGAAGATGTTTATTCAAGCAGAAATTGATTTATGCAGGAGAGGGCCAAAGGATCCTACCCGAATCTGGCTTCGGAAGACAGATCAATGACACACCCTCTGCTTTACAAAGAAATACAGCATTTTTATACATTTTGTGTTACAGTAATCAAATACAATCCCCTTAATCCAAATAGCCAATCCTATGGGACACCTAATCAATGATGGGCACTTCTATGGACAGCCCCAGGTTCCAATGATCTTATGGTATTAGCTAGACATTGTAATCTGCAGGTTCTGGGATCATCCAATGCATCCTATTCATTCACATTCCAAAAGTTTAATGGCTATACTCCTTCATGTCTTTTTCTGGCTTGTTTATCTGTAAGGTCAGCTCAAATTCTATTACCCATTGTATTTTGGTGCTGTTTTATGTCACATTCAGTTATCCCTTTTAATTTCCCACTGTCCCAATTACATAATTTAAAAATAACTAATTTTAACTAATTGCTATAAGGTTAACTTCTGATATAAAGTCAGTTATAAATGTAATGTTATACAACTACTTCTACTGTCAGCGTTTTGTAGTTTATGGGTTGTCATCAATCTATCTTGTTCAGGGCATAAGAGAAGGCATCTCCTAAGGTTAATTAATTTTCACATCTAAGCTTAAATGTTTTTTTTAAGGCTTGCATTATATTCTGGTTATGTATTGAAACCAACTTCTGTGATTAGAGCATTTTTAGCTAGAAACTATTTAATATTGCTGCTAGCTTCAAAGAGGCAACTATTCATTACAAAATAACTTTAGTTGTTATCCTTGCAGCTGCTTAAGGACCTAATCAAGCACCTGACATTATTTATTTACTGGGACAATCATCCTTTCCTTAATAAAGCTGGAATTGGTCATTTTTCTGTCCTAAAGCATCCTTTTATCAGAACTGTCTCGGATGGGAACATACAGCGTTCTTTTACTGACCTTCTACCAGTTCTGTTCATAGGTGCCATTGGATTTCACTGTGTGAGCTGGCTGCTTAGTTTTGCTTAGCTTCTGTCTGCTATCTTGTAAGCAGGCATGGGCTGCTTAGTGTGGTCAGGTAAAAGTCACTTTTCATAGCCAGGTACAGGTCATCCCTACAATGTGCCTCAGAATAAATTAAATAATGAGGAAGTCCTTAGAGAATGGGATAGGGTAGTGAGCTATCCTTCCGAGGAACAGAGAGCTGAATTGAAAGACTTGTTGCAGTGCTATGAGGATATATGTAGAAATAGAATGGGGAGGACTAATATTATAGTACATGAGGTTGAAGTAGGAAATGCTTTTCCGATAATACAACACACCTACAGGCTTAATCCTCTCAGAGCAGCACAGGTACAGAAGAAAGTGGAAGCGATGCTCCATGAAGACATCACAGAGCTGAGTCAGAGTGAGTGCAGTTCACCAGTCGTGTTGGTTCCCAAACATGATGGTACTCAGTGATTCTGCATAGACTATCAAAAGTCCATACCGTTAGCAGGCCAAGCAGGATTTTTACCAAGACAAAAGGTTTTTGAATTTAGCCAATCAATTTGAACCAGGCACTCAGATACCCAAAACCTATCCAATTTGAATCTGATAGTTTTGACAAACTAGGAGCAATCCGATCGTAAGAAATTGATATGCCATCAGGTATATAAAAGAAGAGGGTAGTTGGACAAATAGAGGAGAGCTAACTGCCATCTGCCAGAGTTAAGAGCTCTGAGCTCTCAAGAGAGAATCACTGGCTCTCACAGACTCCTATAAATCTTAGAAAATTCTCCATCTAAATATCAAAGGTACAAACGGCACAAGTAGTTAATATTCCTGATAGAAGAATCGACGGAGGAGGCATTCCTGACTGAACACTTGACAGAGAAGGCCCAGAACATTCCAGAAGACACGTAACCTGGCTATAATTTCGAGAGACTAAATTCTACTTTCTTTAATTTTATATAAGCAGGACATGTATTTATTCGAACAGCATACAGTTAGAATCTTGTTTTGTTTGGGAATATTTAATAGTTTAGTTTATTTTTTTCACTGTTACAGTTAGATAAACAAGCTGTTGCTTGTTGATTGTAAAGTGAGTGTCAGGGATTTATTTTATTTAACCACTAGAAGTTTCTGAAAGGCAGGTTACACTCCTTTTACAGATTTTAGAGCAAGGTGCTCCCCTTTGGCTGTTTTGGTTTAACTTCACAGAGGGGGGCAACCTCTGCTTTGTAACCAAGGGGAAAGATTTAAAAGGGACCTATGGGGCAACATTTTCATGCAGAGGGTGGTGCATGGATGGAATGAGCTGCCAGAGGAGGTGGTGGAGATGGTACAATAACAGCATCTAAAAGGCTTCTGGACGGGTATATGAATAGGAAAGCATTTTGAGGGAAATGGGCCAAATGCTGGCAAATGGGACTAGATTTATTCAGGATATCTGGTCGGCTTGGACGAATTTGACCGAGGGGTTTATGTCCATGCTGTACATCTCTATGACTCTATATCACGAGAGTGGGATCATATTTCTATGTTTTGATTAAATATTAGACTAATATCTTGCTAATGTGCCTGGAAACATTACTGACTAATTTCAATATTATTCAGCTTTGGTCAAAAGCAGCTAACTATCATCATGGATTTCACATAATGCACTGTTTTGTTAGGTCAGTTTGATTACTTCTGCCACACTGCCTCAAGGATTATATGAGTAGGCAAAATTTTGTAGAATTATGTTATTCAAGACACTGGAACACAAGGAATGCATGTTTTAAACTTTACACCTTGTGTTTATTATTTCTTCTTCACTGCCTGTCTCTTTCCATTAGCTTCTCATGTATGCCATGTCCTGACCTCTGGGTAAGTGTCTGTTAATGACCTCAGCAACAGCTCTCTAACTGTTCTGGTATATAGGTTAGAAAATAGAACAACAAAAATGTTGCCGAATATGCGAATTCCTTAAATCATACATCCGGAAGGAATCTTTTAGCTTAAGTGTTCCAATCTGCAGCATTACTGTTGTATACAAACTTCCTGTTGCCCCTCTTTGTCTAACGCTTTCAACAAATGTTGTGGTTTCAATGAGGGATGTACAGCTCAGGCTGCAGTTTTATTTTTCATACCCTTCTGTCAGCCATTTGTTCATGTAATTGCTGTACAACCTGTTAATGGTCATATTCTTGTCTGTGTGCTCCCAATTTTCTGAATGTGTATGAACCAATATTCCTATTAAGACTTTTCCTTTAAAATACATAATATATAATTTCAGGCGCTATTTGTTTCGTGGCTCGAGTACTTTGAATCATGCTCCTGGATCAGGACCAAATGCCTTCGCTCACAAGAGAATGTCGCAGACTCAAAGAGAGGGTCAGACCAAATGTACATCATATTTTATTGAGCCAGTGCAATGGATGGAGCCTGCACTACTTGGTGTTTTGGATGGACAGGTAAATGGTTGTAATAAAGAGATTGCTATAACTGTTTGCTTTATCAAGTTCAGCTAAGACTGGCATCTGGTTATTCTTGATTTCTAAATTTCTTGATTCCTAAAGCTTGTGGGATTGACGACTACGACAAATACAGATGATATGTAATGCTTGTTTGAAATGGCCGTATAAAACTCAATTAATATTGATATGTGTAGACAGCTGATCATTTTCTATCTTTTCTGAATTAGAAGTTCCTGAAAAAGCACTCATTAAGTTTTTCTTAACTTGTCATTAATAAATCCAGATAACATCTGGTTATGAGGGGGTGGGTTGCTATGCAATTCAAGTGGTTGAATTATAAATGATATCTATATGTGAAATTCCAAAATTCTAACAGTTTTAGGAATTATTCAAAGTAGGTCAAGACTTGCAATAAAGTAATAAAAACAAATATGATGACTTGAACTAAGTAAAATGAAAACAGCAGCAGCTTGCATTTACATAATGTCTTCACTGTAATAAAATATCCCAAGGCAGTTTACAGTGTGCTATGAAATAGAATTTGGCAATAAGCCACATAAGACGACATTAGGGCAAATCACTAAAAGTTTTGAGTAGGTTTACGGAACATATTAAAGGAAAAACAAACAAGATGATCAGAGGATTAGATAGGGTGGACAGTGGGAGCCTTTTTCCTCGGATGGTGATGGCTAGCACGAGGGGACATAGCTTTAACTTGAGGGGTGATAGATATAGGACAGATGTCAGAGGTAGGTTCTTTACTCAGAGAGTAGTAAGGGCTTGGAATGCCCTGCCTGCAAAAATAGTAGACTCGCCCACTTTAAGGGCATTTAAATGGTCATTGGATAAACATATGGATGATAATGGAATAGTTTAGGTTAGATGGGCTTCAGATAGGTTTCACAGGTCGGCGCAACATCGAGGGCCGAAGGGCCTGTACTGCGCTGTAATGTTCTATGTTCTATGGTTCAGGAAAGAAATTCTCGAGCTAGGATCTTGGCATTTGAAGTCACAACCACCAGTGGTGGAACAATTAAAATTGGCGATGTTCAAGAAACTAAAGTTACAGGAGTAAAGGAACTTAGAGGGTTTTAAGCTGGAGGAGCTCACAGAGATAGGGAGTGAGGCAATTGAGGGATTTGGAATTTTAAAATCGAGGCATTGTTAAACCAGTAGCCAATGTAGGTCGTAATTTCAGGGCAGTGGGTAAATGGGAATTATTGGACAAATATCCTCCTAATTTTGCTGTTTGAATTTTATAAGCTCTGAAGAAGGGTCACTGGACATGAAACATTAACTCTGTGTTCTCTTTGCAGATGCTGCTAGACATGCTGAGTTTCTCCAGCAATTTCTGTTTTTGTGACAATTTACACTGTTTTGCTTTTGTCTTATTTCACCTCTGTGAATCAGCTTGGACTATTTACTATGTCACAATAGCATTTATATAGCGTTTTCTAAGATGCTGTATCAGTTTCAAACCTTCCACATTTTCCTGCTGACTTCACACCCTTTTTCTGTTTGTGTACCTCAAGCCTCTTTCCAAATCTATACATACCTGGCCTTTACCTTCTGCCTGCCCTAAAGCTGGCCCTAAATTTCTCCTCCATGACAGTTAAATAGATAGTATGGTGGAAGGAGAGCAATTGTCCTTTGTATGCTCTACTTACCCTGATCTTGAGAAAACTAGAGTGATTAAGTTGCTGAATTATTTCCTTTTTCACCAAAGAAAGGTGGGAAGAACACAGTCGAGAAAAATGAGTGGGAAAGGGAATTTAAAATTGATGGATTGGGTTAAGGTTTGAGAGCCAGACATGTTTGAAAAAGGTCACAGGTGACCGAAAGTGGGAAATAGCCAAATGTATTGAGTCCACATCATTTTAAAAATGATTAAAAATAGCTTGTCCCTTGAAATTTTATTTTCTTTATTAGGTAAATTGTTATTATGGATCACAAATGCTATCAAAGATGATATCCTTGTAAGAGAATTCTATTTATGCTTTCTGTCAAAGAGTGACTATCTTTTTTCTTAATTCATTTGTGGGATGTGGGCATCACTGCTTGACTAAGTATTTATTATCCATCCCTAGATGCCCTTGAGAAGGCAGTAGTGTGCTGCTTGAAATGCTGCAGTCTATGTGCTTTGGGTAAACCTAGAATACCGTTAGGGTGAGAATTTCAGGATAATGACACAGCAACATTGAAGAAATGGTGATATATTTCCAAGTAACGATGGTGAGTCATTTGTAGGGGATCTTGTAGGTGGTATTGTTCCCATGTATCTGCTGTCCTTGTCCATCTAGATGGAAGTGGTTGTAGATTTGGAAGGTGCTGTCTAAGAATCTTTGGTGAATTTCTGCATTGCATCTTGTAGATAGTACACACTGCTGCTACTGAGCATCATGGTGGAGTTTGTGGACGCTTGTGGATGTGGTATCAATCAAGCTGGCTGCTTTGTCCTGGATGGTACCAAGCTTCTTGAGTGTTGTTGGAAGTGCATTCATGCAGGCAATTGGGGAGTTTTCTGTCACACTCCTGAGTTGTGCCATGTAGATAGTGGATAAGTTTTGGGGGATCATGAGGTGAATTACTTGGTGCAATATTCTTAGTTTCTGGCCTGCTCTTGTAGACACTATATTTTACCGAACATGATGTGTTTCATTCTGTTTGAAATGATTTATAAAATATGCATTTTTTTTTCAATATTTGATTTATTTTTTCAGTTACTTTGCCCAAAGTGTGGATCTAAATTGGGCTCTTTCAACTGGTATGGTGATCAGTGTTCCTGTGGTCGTTGGGTAACTCCTGCCTTCCAGATTCACAAGAATCGCGTTGATGAAGTGAAGCATTTAAGTTTCTCCAGTGTGAAAAATGTTAGTAGTTGAATAATAGAGTATTGTCAAATGTGAAAAAGCTGGACTGTCTGACCAACTACTAAAGTGGAATAAACTTTAGTCATCACACCCTCCCAATCTGAACTATATTACATGATATGTGATGGATAGATGGTGGCATTTACTTAGGACTGATTTATACATTTCATGTATGTATTTTAAAAATTGTCAAGGTGTGTATATCGTACTGTGAAACGGTTTACAAACAGATCAGACATGATTGGAAAAAATCTTTAAAGTAGCTATAGTCTGTTACAACTCCTGACAGATATTCAATGATCAAGGTTTACAGTTTCCAAAGGGTGAAATTTTTTTGAATCACAGCTGCGCTACACAGAGCAAAGATAACCAGATTTTGCCATCAAAATGACAATAAAGCTGTCTGGAGTCCACACACATGGAATTAACTGCAAAACTCGGGAGGCTCTATCCAAGTTGAGCTGGTCCACTAGAAACTGCGTTACCCCAGTACTTTGCCAAGATACTGAACATTAATATCGTTGTAAGCACATAAACGTTGCTTTACTTATCGATTAAATATACCAGAAGAAAAATGTTAGGCCTAGTGTGTGCAGATTGTAAGTGCATTTTTAAAAGCGTGATAACTCTGAAGTACTGACAAGCACTATCTCTGACATGAATTCTTTAAATTTTAGACAGGTGAATTCTCATTTCATTCTAATGTAATTATGTTTTTCTTTGTCTTATTTATCACTGTCTCAATCACATCCCTTTTTTCCACCACTATTATTATTTCTTTACTATTTCAAGTTAATTAAATATTCTCATTCATAATTCAGACACTGCATATTTACCTGCTCCCTTACCTGTGTGTGATCCGTAAAAGTTTCCAGACACCACTCTACCTGAATTTATCAGTCAATGTATTGACACATAGTCGTGAGCCAAAATGGCTGCCCTGTGACCCGCTATTCATCTACATGAGTGCGAACTGGAAAGGATAATGACTTTTTGACCTCCTCAAGGTGAATGATCTCATAAAGGTACTTGGTCTTAGTTTTAAATTCTGTACACATTGGTCAGAAGCAAGCTGTGGTTATGTGCTTTGACAGGTAGAATAGAGGAGCTAATTATTATTTAAATAGAGAAAGACTGCTGATAGCTGCAGTATAGTGGGATTTGGGAGTCCTTATGCATAAGTTGCAAAATGATAGAATCCAAGTTCAGGAATGTAGACTTTATTTCAGAGTCAGTGGAGTATCAAAATAGGGAAGACTTTCTAAAACTATGCAAAGCAGTAGTCAGACCAAAGATAGACTACTGTAAACAGTTCTACCCACCTTTTCTAAAGAAAGATACTTTGGCATTTGAGGCAGCCCTAAGAAGGTTCACAATGTTGATCCAGGCATGGAAGGTTTCTCTTGTAATGCAAGGCTGAATAGGTTGGACCTGTACTCGATGGAGTTTTGAAGAATGAGAGACAACTACATTGATATATAGATCCTTGGTGTCTTGATAGGGTAGTTGTGGAGAGGTAGCTTGCCAATGTGGGAGAGCCCAGGACCAGAATAAGAGATTGCTCAGTTACGTCAGAGATGTAGAGGAATTTGTTCTCTCTGAGGATAGTGAATCTGTGGAATTATTTACTGAAGAGGTCTGTTGAGGCTGGGTTTTTAAGTTCATTCAAGGCTGTGACAGATTTTTAATCAGGCAGGGAATTAAGGGTTATGGGGAAGAGACGGGAAAGTAGATTTGAGGGTTATCAGATCAGACATGATCTCATTAAATGGCAGAGCAGACTAAATGGGCCAAATGCTTACTTCTACCTCTATGTCTTACGGTCTTCTCTTTCCTCACAATATGTAATAAAAGTGAGAGAAAGAACTTGGGTTTATATCGTACATTTCCAAACCTCAGATGTCTCAAACACATTTGCAACCAATAACGTGTTTTTAAAGTGTCGGCACAGTTTGGAAAAGCAGCAGCCAATTTATCAAATTTCCAATGAAGTGATGACCAAATGAACTAATTTAGGGAAGTTGATTGAAGAATATAGACCAGAATATCTGTAAGAACTTCCTGATCCTTTTCAAACAGTCTTTGAGAGCTTTTACATCACCTTGAGAATGCAGACAAGATGTAGATTTAGCAGTACATCTGAAAGATGGCATCCCCTGCAATGCAACAGTCTCTCCACTGCACTGCAATATCAGCTTGCATTATGTGCTGAATTGGCATTTGAGCCCACAATCATCTAACCCAATGGCAAACCTGCTACAACTGAGTCAATACTGACTCTGGATTTTGTGTTGTTTCAATGTTTAGTCAGTAGGAGTCAATAGACGTGAAGCTGGAAAAGCACAGCAGGTCAGACAGCATCCAAGGAGGAGGAAAATCAATGTTTTGGGCTGAAACCCTTCGTCAGGACTGGGGAGTAGGAGGTGCATTTCACAAGACAAAATAGGCTAAACAGAGTCATGTATTAAGTGCCCATGCCTCTTATAATGCTTTTGAAATCTCTGAATTTATAGCTGCAGATACTATCTGCCTACACTGGTTCTCTGATGAAAACAACCTGTTTTTGATGGTGTTTTACACTGAACAATTAATGAAGATCAAAATAATCCTCCTTAGAGATGGTGTACTATACGAACAGTGCAAGTTGATGAATTTATTAAAGAAAGTTATTATAGCATGCAGTGTATTTGTATTTGCATTTTGAATCATGGGATAATCAGAGTTATGGGAAATTTCAGCTACTTTGCCTTGTTACAGATTGCAGTAGTGGATGTAGAAGGGTATCAGGTTGAAATCTGGAAGATTTAATAGTGATCATAATGAGTGCTATATTATGGAGAGGCAATGGTCTAGTGGTATTATTGCTCAACTGTTAATAAAGTAACCGAGATAATGTTCTGGGGACCTGGGTTCAAATCCCACCATGGCAAATGGTGGAATTTGAATTCAATTAAAAAACAGAAAAATCTGAAATTAAGTAATGGTGACTATGAATCCATTGTTAATTGTTGGAAAAATCCAACTGATTCACTTATGTCCTTTAAGGAAGGAAATTGCCATCCTTACCTGGTCTGGCCTACATGTGACTCCAGAACAACCCCATGACAATGTGGTTGACTCTTAACTGCACTCTGCCAGTAATACCCTCTTCCCATGAACGAATAAAGGAAAAAAAATGGTTTAAAGACCAGTCCATTTAAAATGTATTTTCTGTTGCTTTGAACACATTTTGAAATATTTCATTAAAATGTCCTGAGCATTTTGCTGAATCTATAAATTATCATTCAAGACCAGGACCCCATAATTTCTGCACCAATAGAAAGTTTAGTTTTAAAGTGTATCATGTATATGTTTTTGAAATTGGTTCTGTAAAATCTTTTTATTGCCGTTTTAAATGGTACAAGGTCATGCCAATCAGTTGTTACTGACTTTGTTTTAACGAGGAAGACTTGTAAATCTTTCCCAAAATAGATATTGGCAATTTTTCTGTGATATGTACTTATTCAGCTTATCGGTCCCATTATTGTTTACTTTATTGTATTGTCTTCACTTTTTGTTAAGCGTTCATACTTAACTCCTTTACTTGTGCTGACACCGATTTCAACAGAAAGAAGAGAGAGAGCTGTGGGTTGAACTTAAGTTAGAACTTAATGACAGGTCATCAAATTGAACACCTCTTGATATCAAGATACCCATCAAAGACACCTTTGACTTCTAGTACTGTCATAAGTGATTTCCCCAGATCATCTTTCCACCTGCAGTGTTGTAGGAAACTTAGAAGTTGAACATGTCATGCAAGTAAACGTATAGTCATACAATAAAAAAATTTTTTAAAAATGTCATTTAATGTTTCCAGAGCAAACTTTTGATTTATAGACTATAATGTTTAGTAATGCCTCACACGTGCAGTTCAATTACAGTTTCAAAATATGGAAGTGAATTATTATAACTTGAATGATTCAAACTTTCTCATTCAGTGGAAAAAGGAGAAAATGCAATTTTTATTCCATAAGCATTTATTTCATAAACGAGTGTTAGAGGCCTCGCTGATTTCTCATTAGTTTTATTTTATCAATTTTGGTTTGGAGATGTGAGTCAAAAATGACCTTTTAACTGTAGGGTAACAACTTGTATTCAGAGGAAAACTGACCAAATGAGATTTTCATTCTTCGTGAGGCCAGCCCTGAAGTTAATTGCAGGTTGGTTTCAGCTCAAACTTTGTCACTGGGGAAGAACATTATGTTTAAACAGAAAGCAAAGTCTGGCTATTAGTAAGATAGGTACCTGGGAATTAATTCCAGCAGTCTGCAAAATACTTTATTTTCAAGCAGATGGCCAATGTTCAACAGTAACTCAATGTGGAACAGATGGTCTGTCACTTTGAATTGGGTTTTGGACTGTGTTTTCTGTGAGAAGGAATCTGGCTGTTGTTGCTGTGGCATAAAGATTTGAAAGCTCCCCATCTAACCTCCTGCAGTTCCTGGAATAGCTCATAGAATAGATCACTAAGTTATAAGTATTACTGCCTTTATCTGAGTGAACTGAAATAGTGACCCTGATTGACATCTTCAGAAAATCAACCACAAAACCATCATCTATGCCTGTGGAGCAATGCTTCATGAAACCAATTAAGTAATCTGGTCAGTTTTGTTATTTTATTAATCTCTTGATTGTGTTTTTCTGTCTTTTGTGTGAATGGGGCTGGAAACAAAGGCTGTTGGGTTTACTTTGTTAATTTTTGCTCTGCTAAAGTTACTATTTTGTTAATAAATCGCTAAGATATAAATCAGTGTCTGGAATTGATTATTTGCAGAGTCTGGAACTAATTATTCAAAAGTCTGGTTACCATTGGTACCAATTTTGAGAGCCTTTGAAGGTTATAATTTTACAGAGGTAAAAAGGCTAATTTGGTTCTGTTGTCTGTCTCTGTTTCATAACATGAGCAGTAAATGAAAGTTAACAATACTTTGAATGATGCCGTTTCACTAGCATATCATTAATTTTGCAGAGCATTCTTCCCCTTTTAATTACAACTGATATTTCCCAGGCTCCTTATTTGCATAACACTAACGGCTCATGGTGCTTTACGCAGTCTGCTTCATAACCAACCAAATTTTCACTCTATGGACATATAATGTCTGACGTATTAAAAAGGGATCACATCAGGAAATGATTTTCCAAAGCACCGTTTCACTAGTGGCCTTTAAATTATGCTTTGGGGCCCTGTGTACATCATAGGACCCTGGTTGACATTTTTGGAATGTGCAAACTGCTGGGCCAATCTTTTAAGCAAGTGACAAAAGTACCTGAGCAAATTGGAATGGGAACAGCGCAGCAAGTCAGATTTAGTTTCAGACTGTTACCACCTTGTTTTACCCTAGTAGATGACTTTAAATTTGGTGAAGCATATTCATCTACAAATTCAATTTCTATCAAAAATAATTGACGGATTCAATGTGGTGGCAAAAGTGTGTCAAGAGAAACTTGGTCATTTGAAATGGTGCAGCTAATTCTTTTGGATGTCAAGTAATTACAGAGTTGGTTCACTGATTAATGTGTCACTCTTTATTGAAAGGCACTTTAAACCTATAACAATATGGCAGAAGAAAGTACATATTTTATCATGCAAGGTTTGTTTCTATGAGGAGCAAGTTTAAAAAATAGGATTAGTAAGTCACTTGGGAAATGTAGAAAGTGTAAGGAAATTTCTGTAAAGATGTTAAGTGATAGTATTTCCACTCAGCAACCTTACTTAATTCTCTCACAGTGGTTGTGAGAGTTGGTCACAGCTATTGTCTTACAATGGTAACAATGAAATAAAAATGCATTGACACTAGTATTGATCACAGGTTCTCCAGATGAATGCATGGGTCTAAAAAAAGTACAAGCATTAGAGATGTTGCCTTCACCATAAAAATCCAAATTCTCAAATAACGTTAATTTGGTGTAATGGAGTTAAACATAAAAATTCAGAATAAGTGTCTGCACCCAAATAGTGGTAAGAATGTGAAATTCACTACCACATGGGGTTGAAATGAATAGTAGAGATGCATTTAAGGGAAAGACAAGCATATGAATCAGAATGAAATAAAATGTTACAATGTTAGATTTCAATGCAGAAAAGATGAGAGGAAACTGGTGAAATGAGATCTGAAGGTGGAAATGTTAATGCTGTTTTATCTCCATAGATGCTGCCATGCCAGCTGAGATTCTCCAGCAATTTGTGCTTTTGTGTTTCCTGATATGAGCTGGTTGTGCTGAGTGGGCAGTTTATGTGCTACATATCTGATATTATCTGTTTGCATACTTCGGTGTCAAGGATGGGTAAGTAAAAGTAATTCTAAATGACTGAAGTTAGTTAAGTTAAACACATTATGTAATCTAATTTATAACAAATTATGTAATCTTACATTAGTTCAAATAAAACTCATCTTAGTTACAAATAAAGTAAATGTAAACTTCATGGCTTTGCACTTAGCTATGTTTCTATATATTTTAGGACTGGTTACTAAGCAAGTTCAAAATAAAGTTGATATTCTGAAACAAAAAACAAAGAACTGCAGATGCTGGAAATCTGAAACAGAAATAGAAAATCCTGGAGAATCTCAGGAGGTCTGTCAGCATCTGTTGAGTGAAAGCAGAGATAACATTTGGACCGTTCTTCAGAACTGTTCAGAATATTCTTAAATAAGCTTTTACTTAGTGCCTGAAATATGAAAATAAATACCAAATGAGTAAATGTTATCATTTTTAACTATTGGTTACTGAACTGTTCTTTTTGTGCAAGCTGTTCATTGTTTTAAATTATAGTTGTCTCTGCCATTGCATGATCTTATATGCTGCATGTTTTGATGTGATGTATATTATAGCTTGTTAGCAACATTAAAGGCCATAGGATAAAAGGCCAATTGCAGCATAGATCCAAAATTGACTGAAGGAGTTAAACGAGAAGATTGTAGTGAGCGACTGATTGAAAGGAAGTACGCAAGAATACAAACTGAGAGCAGAAGCAGAACATTTGGTCCCTCAAACCTGCTCTGCCATTCAACATGATTAAGGCTGATCTGCTAGTGTTTTGAATTCTGTGTTTCCAAACATCCTGCACCACCATCCCCATGACCCCTGATATCTACGACTCCTTGGCTAACAAGAATCTATCCACCTCTGCTGTAAAAATACTCAATGACCCTGCCTCTACTACTTTCTGAGACAGATTTCCAGAATTATACAACCCTCTGAGAGAAAAGAGGCAACCTCTAATTTTAAAACAGTGCTTTCTAGCTCAGGGCAGATCCACAAGAGGAAGCATCCTTTCTATACCTGTCTTGTCAGGACTGTTCTGGACCTTGCATACTTCAATCAGTACCCCTTGCTGTTCTAAACTCCAATGAAAGCAAGTCCATTCTGTCTAAGCTATTCACAAAAGACAACCTGCGCATTCCAGCTATCAAGGTGCAGGGCTGGATGAACACAGCAGGCCAAGCAGCACCATAGGAGCAGAGAGGCTGCTTGGCCTGCTGTGTTCATCCAGCCGTGCACCTTGTTGTCTCGGATTCTCCAGCATCTGCAGTTCCTACTATCTCTCATTCCAGCTGTCAATTTGATGAACTTTCTCTGAACTACCTTTAATATATTTTCATGCTTACTTATATAAGGAGACTGAGATTGTATGCAGTATTTGAGAGTGTAGGCTCACCAATGCTCTATGACTGAGGCAAAACATCTTGCATACTCAAATCCTCTATTAACAAAGGGTAGAATTCCATTTGTCTTAATTACTTTCTGTGCCTGTATCCTAATTTCTTGTGACTCATGTATTAGAACATCCGGATCCCTCTGCACCTCGGAATTTAGCAATCATTCTTTGTTTTAGCCTCTTACCAAAATTAGCTACCTTTTCTCATATTATACTGCATCTCGCAGATTTTTGCCCAGTCATGTAACACGGTTACAGACTAAAAAAACGTTCTGTTCTCTTTACGGCATAAATGTCTGTTTATCTTTGTGTCAAGTTTAGCTACCATGCCTTTAATCCCATCATTAGGTCATTGCTACAGATTATAAAAAGTTGAGGCCACAGCCCAAACTGACACAGGACCCCACTCATCACATCTGGCCAATCAGAAAAAGACCAATTAATGCAAGCTCTTTTTATTTTAAACAGCCAGCTAAACTTCTATCTATGGTAGTATTTTCTCCCTGCACCATATACTCCTACTTTGCACAATAACCTTCTATATAGCACCTTGTCAAATGTCTTCTAGAAATGTAAGTACATAATGTCAACAGGCTCCTCTTTATGCTCAGTGCAAGCTACTCCTTCAAAGAATTCCAATAAATTGGGTAAACATGATTTCCTTTTCACAAAAATAAACTGACTTTTCCTGATTAACTTTGAGTTTTTCAAGTGAGCAGTTATAATTTCCTTAAAAATTGATTGATACGCCTTCACCGCAACAGATGTCAACCTAACTAATCCATAGTTACCAGTTTTCTGCTTCTCTTCTTTCTTGAATCGAGAGGTTATGTTTGCTACTTTCCAGTCATTCCAGAATCTAACACTTTTTAGAAAATAACACTAATACGTCTACTCGGAGATAGTAAGAACTGCAGACGCTGGAGTCAGAGATAACACCGTGTGGAGCTGGAGGAATACAGCAGGCCAGGCAAGATCAGAGGAACAGGAAAGTTAATGTTTCGGGTCAGGACCCTTCTTCAGAAAATCTGTTATAACTAGTACATCTACTACCTCATTAGTCACCTATTTTAAAAGTCTAGGATGAAGTCCATCAGTACTCAGGGTCTTGTCAGCCCATAGCTCCATTAGTTTGCTTAGTACTGCTGCCCTGGTAATTGTAATGTCACCAAATTCCTTTATTTCTTTGTCCTCTAGATTTACAGTTACTTCCAGGATATATTTTATTCATTTGTTCCACCATTTTCTTATTTACCATTAACCTTCTATTTCTCTCTCTCTCTCTCTAGAGGACCACTTGACATATTCCTTTCCCTTTTAGATATCTGTAGAAACTCTCATTATTCATTTTTACATCTCTAGCTAGCTTCTGCTTATACTCTAATTCCTTTCACCTGATTAACCTTTTATCTATTCTTTGCCATTCCTTGTATTCTCACCAGTCATTGCACCTACCACTCACCTTTGCACAATTGTATGCTTTTTCATTATGTCTAATGTATACAATAGTTTTCCACAGAGGTAGCTACTACAGCCTCTGCTGTTTATGATATACATTACACAACTGAGACTCAGGGTTATAGGGCACAATTTTGAAATTTGCAGACATCCTTCTCAAATTGATTAGTGCATTAACTGAAACGTTGTTGGTTTGAGACCATCCATGGAATAAACATCAATGATTGCTCCTTATTCACATTCATTGCCACACAATTCAGAATTTTTAATGGCTGCAAAAGTCTGTTCTCTAAAATGAGCTCTTATCCAGTGAATCATGACACAAGTAGTTGTTAAACATCATCGCGCAAAGGCCAAGTGATGGAAAATAGGACTAGAGTAGATAGATTCTTGATGATTGGCACAGATAAATTGGGCTGAAGGCTTGTTACATTCTATAATTCTATTATCTTTCTCTTCCTCCAGTGGTTCTCTACTGCTGCCCAACTGGGTGGGACTGTACTTGCCTAGTTCCATTCTTAACTGTCTAATTGTTATCACTGTATGATTAATAATGAATTTTCGTTCTGATTTCACAGTTACTTCTGGTGTGCTCCAAGCCCAACAACCAATATTTTAGCCCCTCGTTTTTC